TTGTTTCCATCTGCCAGAGAACCACAACTTCAGACAACATTTACTTTCCATCAAGTCAACGACCCTAAGCAATCCTGAGATTACAGGCAAAAGTGCATCGAAATGCCGAGTTAAAAGGGATATTTATGAAATCACTTATTTTTTTGTTGACATTTTTCACTCAATTTCATTTATTTTGTAGAAACGGGTTTCCTGCTTGAAGGCAGCGTCTCTGGAAACGCTCCAAATCAATTGGTGCTAAACCAGGTTCTCAGATGCTCCGAATCTGATGGGAAGTGAACCAAAGCAGAGATCCCAAACTGTCCTTAATGATTGAAACCAAAACAGAAAAGCTGAGCTCGGAAACACTGACGACACCCTTCATCACCGTGTTTGACAGCTTTGCAGCAAGATATAAAAGTTTCAATTGGGTCAGTAATTCTTGACTATTGATTAGAAAAATATTAGTTCCACTGGCAGATTTTTTTTTTCACAAAATATATTATCTAAAAAGTTACTTGGAAGTTAATTTTGACTTATTTCATGTGTACTAAGTTGTTTGCACTGGAAACCGGACAAAAAACACTTGGTAAGCCGTCCTGTAGTTGCTGTGTGAACTCTGGTAATCCCTTATTACGCAATGACAGACCAAGACTAAAAGCCCTGGAGAAACGCCAGAAAGTGCTCCGTCAGCCAGAGGTTTTATGACGATAACTCACTCTTCGTCCTGCAGCCGTTCCTCATCCTCCTGGCAGTGGGTCTGGTTCCGAATCGGTGCCAGGCCTTCGGTTTTGGTGTTGTAGTTGTGGAAGCAGACGTTGAGTTTCTCATCGAACTCGTTGACCAGGTCCTCCATTGACTTGAAGCTCATCATCTCGGAGAAGTTCTCCAGCTCGGAGAAGTCCTCGCGGGTGATGGAGGCCAGAGGGACTGTGGTGGTGGTGGTGATTGTGGTGCCGGAGTAGGAGGAGTAGTCCTGCTCATCCATCCGGCAGGGCCGCAGGTCCTCGAACTCCTCATCCAAGCACACAAGAGGGGCTTCCATGGTGTCCCCTGGCAGATTGGGGTCTTGTCCTTACTACAAACAGAAACAAAATCAAATTTAATGGACTCAGTTTGATGAACATAAAAAGAAAATAAACCCCAAAAAGGTAATTTTGAGTTCTAATCATTAACCCCTTAAAGGGGCAGTGTTATGTATTAGGCACATAATGACATTTTATAGCACAATCAACTAGCCACATTCGGTTGTCATAAAAATAATGTATCTATTATATATGGCTTGCGAGAAATTTTACTTCCTAATTTAACGACTTGAAATTGGGCCTGTGTCTCTTTAACACTCCTGTTCTTTCTGAAACTCCGCCTACAGGAAGTCATCGCAACATGACTCCTTTATTTACCCTTTAATGATGTTTTTATCTGTGTTGCACTGAGAAGTAGCTCGTATAAAGAGCTCAGCAGACGAGCAGCTCCAACAGGTGTTTGCTAATTACCGACAGCTAGTCTGAAGGAGGAGCGTGGAAGAGCTGGGCGGGACGGCTGCACCCATCCCACTTGGAAAGTGCAGCGCCAAGGAGGAACTGCGTCCGAAAGCGGCGCCAGGTCCGACCAGGCGGTTTGACCAGCTGAATGGTTAGGGAAAAGGGCTTCTCAAACAAGCATGAACGAATCGAGGCAACACTCCAGGTACGCTTTTGAGAATAACATAAGCACACGGTGTACAGCTCAAAGAAGCCGACTTTTCATAGTACTGTCCCTTTAAGGGGCCTTTAGCACAAAGAGAAGATCAATCAGAGCTTAGCAGTCTCTCGGGATATTTGTTGGCCCTACACTGTCTTCTAAATCATGTCTGCTCCACCTCATCTGGACTGGCACCATGATGTCTAGACAAAGGATGGATGGAGGTAGGTGTGCCAGAAGGGGACCAGGTCCCACAGGGAACCCAACCAGTTGGCTTTACTGGTAAACAGCTAATTACATACCCCTACTGGGACTGAACTGATGAGGTGTCAAAGATTCCGGGGCGTGAAATTACATGGAGAAATCCACCATAAATTACAGTCAGGCTCTCATTGTGCTGCCCTAGTTGTTATTGATAATACACTGATTATAAGGTAGTTTTAAAGCAAGATGAAAACATTATTTTTTATAAGTGAGCATCCGATCCCTCCAGCTTGGATGTAAATGAAGAGATCGGGGAGTGACGGCTGAGGCCCCTAAAAAAAAACAGAACAGCGGTCCAACTTTGTTCCTCGGCCCGGCTCTTTGACGCAGCGTCATTACAGTGGGCAGGCCTAAATTTCGTTCTTTGTGCTTTGCTGGCCCGTGGTCTGGTCTAAGTGTGTGAACACAGGGCAGTCCATTTAAAAACAAGCTTGTGCAAGCCTCTTCTTCCTCATCATCCTACTCAGCAAAGTGCTGCTCCGTCTGCAGCCGGAGATCGTCTTTCACCGCCTGCCCGTCTCTGTCTCCAGGCCGTCCCACTGGCCTGCTTGTGTTCATTTTAAAAACGTCTTCCGCGTCCGGCTCAGGGTTGTTTATGTCGAAAAATGTCAGCTCAGACAGTTCAGCGCTCGTGCATTTTGTCAGTGGAGCAGGGTTAGGTTATGCGACAGAAGGCTATGCCGCTGGAGGACAAACTGAACACTTCTTCTTCTACTACTCTCCGTTATTTGTTATTTCAACTGTTGTGTTTTCTCGATGCAGTCTGCTGGGTTTGCCTTGACGGAAAACTTTTTAAACCAGTTGGTGTCTATGATTGGACTGAAATGACTCTTGTTTGCCTTGAAATGATGTTTTATGAATTGGCTCGATATAAATTAGCAGAATGGAATTGACTTAAATCAGGCCTGATTTGTTTACTGCCTGTCAGTAAAACCAATTAGGAAACTATCTTTAGCTAAATAAGGAAAACAAACTTGAAAATTGGAACTTGGTTCTTTTTATGCCCAAGAAACCTGTTCTAGGAGATAAAATAAAATAAAAACCACTTGTTAAAAGCCTTTTCAGGCCTTGATTGGTCAGGTAAGCCAACCAGACATTACATCCCTCCAACATTATATCACTACAGCTGTATTTTTTTAAAGGGAGCAGTTCCATGGGTTTTTGTGTCACCCTTTTCTGGGAAGGAAGGCTTTTGGAGTGCGTGAAGCTCACTCTGTCTGCCTCACAGGCCTGCAGGTATGGAGACCAGGACGTCTGGTTTCACTTCATAGTTTGAGATTTCATCTAAACGCTGTGATTTCAATGAAGAGCAGAGAGAATGACGGAACTGACCTTTAAAAAAAAGCACAATAGGAACTTCCCATTCGCATTTAAAGCACCAGTCTACATAATACCAGCGAGTTGTCTCTCCTGGTATTTATGCATTTAGACCGTTCGTTGGTCTAAATGCAGAGATTTCAGTCGAGGCTGACATTCTCAGGACGGAGGCAGAAATTACAAAGAAGCACGGGTTTAGCTGATCGGAGACAGGAGAAAAGGAGGCAGTGGGGGAGGGAAAGAGGAGCAGTGAGGAGAGGAGAGGAAACCATGGTTACAAGATAATGATGACGGCAGAAAGGATGCACACAGAGGTCAGGACTGGACGGACAGACGGCAGGGTGGTGGGACGTAATTGAGTGAAAACGCTGATTACCTGCAGTCAGATGAGCCGCTGATCCTTCTGGCTTTGTGTGTGTGCGAGATCCTCTGAGACCAGGAAGATCTGCTGCTCTGACAAAATGACAACCCGATGATGAGAAGCAGCAGTTACATTCATTCCAGTGTGGAGGAAGCAAAAGAACGGACAAAAAAAAAACACCCTTCAGAGATAAACGTCGGTGGCGTGGAGAGGCTGAATCTGTGCTCCTTCCCTCACCCGTTAGCCCACAGCCTCCCTGATCTGTTCTCCCACAGCCCGTTGTTTTCCAGTCAATAGGCAGCCAGCACCGCTCCAACAGAGCCTGCGCACTGCTGGGCCTCTGATGACATCAGCTCCCCCCCACCACCCCAAACCCAACCCAACTCTGTCTCCCTCCCTCCCTGCCTCCATCCTTTCTCTCCTCTCCTCCTCTCTTTGTTCCTGCCTCCTCTCTGCTTCAGTCTATCCCTAATATTCATGAACGGAGGAAAAAAGGGGAGACAACGTCAGCAGCATATTTTTTCCATGACATTCAGAGGGACCGGCTCTTCCTTTGTTGTGTATTCTGAAAGGACGCGACTAGACGGCAGCGATGAAGAACTGGCAAATTGAGAAAGCTCCCGCGCCCAAGATGACTTTAATACCTTTAATTTCCCAGGGTTATGAAGGCTTTTCTCATATGCAAGTCTCTTATTAATAAACAACTGAATACGATAGCAGGAGTCATTATTCAAATACACTGGAGAATTATAAAAGGAATAGTGAAAGAAGATTTCTTCTCCCACAAAGCACTTTACAATAGAGCTCCATCTTACATCAGAGATCTGATTGGTCCATGTGTTCCTAACAGTACTTCAGCACCAGACTGCAGGTTTAGTTCTTGAATGAAAAGTGTGATTAATACCTGCTGAAAGGTTATTTTCAGAAGGTACCTTTAATCTGGTTCACGGGCCTCACCAGAAGGCAGATTCTAATTTACTGGGTAACAGGAGCAGCTCAGCTACATTTCAGCCTTAAAAATGTTATGGCAAATGTAAAGGTGCCAGAACTTTGGCTTGGAAGGCAAAGCAAGTTGACCTTGGAACCAGAGGAAGGAGAAGCGACAAATGCTTCAGACGTAAGTGCTTCATTTTATAAGTTTAGAAAATTTCTATGAGCACCGCACTGCAGGCATTAGCAATATAAAATATGTATGACAGATCAGTGCATCAAAACAAAGCACTGTCTATAAATTCGGTTTACATAAAATATATATATATATATATATATATATATAATATATATATATATATATATATATACATTCAGTCTCAAGGCACTTTACAAAAAAGCAACAGCAATGTAAAATAATATCTTTAAAATAAAACAAAAGTCAAGAACCCAGATTGTGCAGATTTTATTCACATCTAGATCTGTTCAGTCTATTTACACGGTACATGTGTTATTGTAACATTGAATTCCCAATATCTCATATTTGGGTGGAGCTAATGTTTGGGAATCAGTTACCCCATAGGGACACACAGTTTGAATTGTTCATTATATAAGTGACACATAATATATATTGCTAAACTTTTGAGATCAAAATGAAAAATTATTAAACATGATCTGAAACCTTCATCTTGCAGGTATTTAAATGGCTGCCGATGATCATCTGGGGAATGCAAGTGAGCTTCATCAAATACAATATTAAATGAAAATGAGATTTCTTCCACTGAACAGTCTCTTCCCTCTCATATGTTCTGTTATCAAATGAAGTCTTTGGATTTCAGAGTTTCACGCTTAAGTTTTTCAAACACACTTTCTGGGTTTGCATTGACCATAAAATGGCGCAAATTGAAGTTATGAAAATAAATCCACTTAAAGGAAACATGGGAATAATAAAAAAAAAAAAAACACACATTTTTCGCTAAAAGGTTTTTGCGCTAGGATGAGGCGCTTTTTTTTCCAGCCATATCAAAATCATGGTAGTTCACAGGACTGCAGTGGAAATATGTTTTTTGCTCCACACAAGTCGTCAGAGTTCGTGCCTCTCACTACTGGTGGAAAAGACAAAGATGTCAGAAAGTAGGAAGACTCCACCAGATCTCTCACAGCATTGCACCATTCATAGGAAGCTCTGTGTTATTTGAGCATCTTGAATCCATAGCTCTTCTGTAAAATCACCAAACACAATTTCCCCCAAAACTCCACGTACGTCGCTGCTCCCAAGCACAGCCGCTTTGCCGCACAAAACACCGCAATTGCAGAATTGTGTGGGTTTTTTTTTTTTCGACATTAGCAGAACATAGAGAAAGATTTGCGCACATTTGCGGCAGAAACACAGAGTGGGTGTCAGAGTTTGACCAGGTGGTCTCTGAAGGCTGCTCGGGCGAAGCGAGGCGTGGCGCTCAGCTGCGGCAGAGCTTCCTGTTCCTGCACCGCGGCCCTGGTCCTCTGCTCACTAATGAGACGCACAGAGGGTCATCAGAGATCGACGACTGCTTTCACCATCATTTGAGACGGAGCTTACCTACGGAGCCTTTTCTGACTCAGATACTTCGTCTTTATATTTGCCAGCTCGCCGCTCAGTCTTTCGTTCTCACGTTTGTATTCGTTCATCTTTGAGTCGACCGTCTCCAGCTCTGCCGTCAGAGCCTGTGGACGTCGCAGCCAAACATCGAGACGGTTTGGAAACTCACCAGACACGGATGAATTAGTAGGAACAACCTAAATCAAAGCCACTAAAGGAGAGGGACGAAAATACCTGCAGCTTTTTGGTCCGGTCCCCGATGGTCCAGCGGTACTGCTGAAGCTGCTTGGCTGCCTCGGGACCGGGCCGCCGGGCCAGAACCTGCTTCAGTTCCACATACAGCTTCTCCTTTTCCTACAAGAGCAAGGTAGGAAAGACAGAAAAATGTTCCCGAAAGTGAGAACGAAACAGAGGCGAAGAGAGAATTTTATGAGAAAGACCAACACGACCAGAAGAAAATCAATGAAATTATTTTTATAAATTTCTTATTATATATAAGCTCATTTGTATTTGTAGCTTCTTTTTTTTCCCATTAGGCAAATTTAATTTCAGGATTTCAATTAGAGCAATTTTATCGTTACTGGAAATGGAGCTGGTGTTACAAAGAAAAGAACGCTACTTGTGTTTCCATGTTTACAGAGAAAAAAATTTATACTTTTTAAATTTTGCGGAGCATCTACCTGCAGCAGCAGTTCCCGTTCCTCCAACTCCTGGGTTTTAACAATCAGTCGCTTCTGCAGCGCCTGAATCTTCTGGATGAGCTGATACTTTCCCGGGTCACTGCCCTGCAAGTTAGGAACAATCCACAAACGGTCAAGGTTCTCATCATTTCTTCTTTTACTATCTAGGTTAAAAACGCCACAGAAGTTACGATGGGGACAAACAGCTGGAGACATTCTGACCTTAAAGCCTCACCTCCAGTTGCCTCCATCGGTGAATATTTACGGGCTTGAGCTGGTCCTCCAGAACACTGTTCCTGGTTCTCTCTCTGAGCAGCTCCGTCCGCAGGCGGAGCTGCTCCGTCCTGCAGGGCACGGCGGAGGATTAACACCAACCATCAACAGAAAGGCTTTTCAGCTACATGACTTTAAAGATAAGAACCGGACCAGAATATTCTGAACAAGAAGCGTTCCTGTGACTTTGGATTGCCTCATTTAGATGAGGTTCTTCTTACCTAGCTGTCTGTGTCTCAGCACCCTCCCAGCTGCTTCTGACTGAGCCTTCCTGTCAAGCTCTACGTCTGGCTCTCTGTGGGTCGCCTCCTCTGCTCTCCTCTGTCACTACCCCGATGAGGCGGCCTGGCGTCGCGTCTTACCTCAGCTCCTCTGTGTTGGGTAAAGTCCTGTCCTGGATGTCGTTGCTGCGGCGCAGCCTCTTGACCTCCAGCTTCAGCAGCCGGATGTCCTCCAGCCTCTGCTTGTAGTGGAAGTCCCCCTTGCTGAGGATGGACTGCTGGATGCGGATCTTCTCAAACAGCAGAGCGCGTTCGTCGCTCCGCTGCAGCAGCTGCCTGCCGAGGCTGTCCCGCTCCCGGATCACCTTCCATCACAGCAGCACACACTCAGACAGTAACTGGGGGGGGGGGGTATGACTGCTGGGTGCTGACATTCTGCTTCACCTGCTGCAGCTGCTTCTGCTGCTGGACTCGGTCTTCTTCCATGCTGGTGATTATCATCTGCAGTTTTTGCTGTTCTGTCCTCTGGGTGTCAGTGAGCTGCTTTGTTTCCTCCAGCTGCAGCTTTATTGACTGCAGGTCCCCCTGATAGAAGACACGTGCCAGATAATTGGGATGCACGATACATCAGCGCCAACATCACTATAGCAATATCGGTCTGATAAATAAATAAAATAGCTTTGGTGCTAGGTTGAGGACGTTTTGCAGCTGAGTCAAAATTAGCTTATTTTGCAAAAGAAGGCCCTCACTGTTGTTACAAAACAAGAAATATGAAAAGACATTTAAATTCCAGTTATTGTTCCCACTACGCCCCCTGGTGGAGGCGGAGGGAACAGTACCTTGAAGGCTTCGTTCTCCTTCTCCAGCCTCTTCTGCTCCTGCTGACCTCTGACCAGCTCCTGCTCCTTCTCAGTGATGTCATCTTTAAGCCGGGCAACCTGGTTGCTCATAGTCTTTAGTTTCCTCCTCATTTCAGAAATCTCCTCCTTAAGGAAATTAAAGGAACAGAGCGGGTGTGTAAAGGTGCCAAGACTGTGAACACAGATCTGATCTTACAGAGCCCCTGGCCTAAAGCTAGCCGCCTTCTGTAACATCATCATCATCATCATCTCTCTCACCTGAGACTCTATGAGGTTTTTGCTGTACAGATTCCTCTCCGCTATGATTGACTCCAGCAGGTTCTCCTGCTGTTTGAGTTTACACTCTGACTCTGTGGCTTTCTTTCTCCAATCAAATATCTCCATCTCTTTGTCTTCGACAACAGTGAGTTTCTGCTGCACCTGCACAAGGTTGAAAGAAAAATGAAAACGAAAAAAACAACCCACCTCTAAGTCAAGGTGAAAAATATGCAGTGGTATGAGAAGCTACGCCAGGTTTGGCCCGTCTGCGTGACCCGCCTTCTGCATGAGGCTGCTGCTCTCGTTGACGTAGCGGTCCCGTTCCTTCTCCAGCTGCTGTATGACCTTCCGCTGCTTCTGCGCCTCTTGCCGGAAGCCGGAGATCTCGTGCTCCAAGGTTCTCTTGTCCTGCTCCAAGAGCTTCATGAGTTCCTGCTGCTTCTCAGCCGCCTGCACGGCTTTGGCCATGTTCTGTCCACAAGGGAAAATCGAGTTCATAGCACTCAGAGAGGGGGGCACGTGGCGAAGGGGTGTGTCAGATCTGCAGCGTTAATACCAGACTGAGCAGAATGACTGCCAAATGTTGATTCCTCTTAGAAATGTCTATTAATACGATGCTAAAATGAAGAGATAACCTTATGCAGATTGTCCCTCTCTCGGATCAGCTCCTCCTTGGCTTTTTTATCAACTTCCACTTGCTTCCGGGAAGCTTCAAGATCTGCATATGGAAAATTAAGAGAAGCGAAAGCTCAACAACCCACCTGCATATTAAATAACCGATATTAGCAGCTTCTACTTCTGAAATGATAGTCATTAAATATTTTATCTTAGCTGTCCCAAAGTGTGATGAAACTGAAATCGCCATCAATATCCTTGCTCATGTTCTTCCTTCCTAGACAAATGATAAAACTCCAGTCACAGTAATTTTTTCACCCACAGCTTCATCTTTGTTTGGCAAGTAACGTCAGTGTAGAGTGTACTGGTTTTGTACACTAGAGGTCAGACTTTGACCTTTTCTGCATATATTTTATTCCTGCCCAGCTGATGGATCAGATAATAAACAGTACATTTGTGACTTCATCAGTTCGTATGTCAAAAACGCTCAAACCTTTTTCCAGGCCAGCGATCTGAGCTTTCAGCGTCTCCCTCTGTTGGTCCAGTTCAGCTTTCTGGTCCTCCATGTGGTGGAGCTTCTTCTGGACGGCTTCTCTCGTCTTGGTCTGTTTGGCGACCTCCTGGCGCATGTGACTCAGCTCCTCCTCTCTTATCTACTCGATGAACAAAGAATGACGGGAAAAGGGAGAGGGAAAAGATTTTGTGAAAGAAAAGCCGTAAAGCGCGACACGACACAACTTCTTTTTTCTTTCTCAGGCTGCTGCCAGGGCAGAATTAGAGAAATGAGGGCTCCTCATGCAAATTACAGAGCATTAATAGATAAGTCAACACATTTGCAGAGTCAAATTGATGGATGGCTGATGTCAAACGTGTGGCAGGTGGAACCGTGTTGGTCCCAAAAAGGTGATAGAGTTCAGATATTTGTGTGTAGTTTGAGTGAATAAAAATCCAGGAATATTTTTAATAAAACTCCACATACTAAATGAGCCCACAATATGCACAACAGGCACAAAAAACAATATAAACGCCACTGCCAGAACTTGTTTCTGTGGGCTACTGCCCCTGTATGCCCTTTCTGAAGTCTGGCCCAGGTTGCTCCACGCCGATATTTAAGATAGGAACAACGAAACTACGAGAAACACAAAGTGAATACCTTCAGCTCGTTTGCCTTCTGATGATTCTCCACAGAGAGCTGTTCCTTGGCCGACAAGAGACGGTCGTATTCCTGCTGCAGTCTGCTGCTCTTCCCCTGAATCTGCTCCAGTTCTTTGGACGAGCGCTCATGCAGTACCTGTGATAGGAAGGGACAGACTGGTGTGTAGTGTTCTCTAATCACTGATAATCAACCCGAGGTGTGCTTACCTTTAGATCTTTGAGCTGCTGCTCCAGTCTCTGCTGCTCCTCTCTGGCCTTCTGTCCTTGCGTGTTCAGAGATTTGATTTCAGCCATCTTGGCCTCCATGTCAGCGTGCAGCTGCTGGGTCTCCTTGTCGAGCTTCTCCTTCAGTCTCATTTCTCTGGAGAGCTCGTTCTGTTGCACCTGGAGCTCCTGCTGAAGCTAGAAGCAGAAATGCAGCAGTGTTCGTCCACATTCGTATTCGTTCCCTTCACTGAAAGTATCCCCAACGTTCACCTTCAAGATCTTCTCCACAGCGGTCTCTTTTTGCGCCTCTATGTCTCGCTGAGTTGCAGTTGCTTTCTTTAGTTTCTCTCTCAGGTCCGCCGCCGTGTTCGTCAGCTGGTCTCTCTCCTTCGTCAACTCTTCGATAATTTTAAGTAAATCCCTTAAAAAACACCACAGATGATATACACTTTATTTAGAGAATTTACAGAGCGCATCAAACGAGAACGCGGGACCCTTTCGTGACTCACATTCGTTCTTGGTCCTGCTGTTGTTCAGCTTCTTGCTCAGTTGCCTTTGTGAGCTTGAAGATGTCTTCTTTCAAAGTCTTGATTGTTTCCTGGTCCTTCCTCTCTTTATCATGAGCTGCATCAATCAGTTTCCAAGCCTTATCCAACTCCTGAAACATTCACTGATCAATTTTTCACAGACAAAACCTGCTGAGTCCCTGAATATAAAACTGTTGAACTTCCACAAAAGGTAATTATAAATCAGTTTGAATATCTGCTCTTTTATTATCTCTAAGTGACATAGAAACTGAAGAGAATATTTCATGAGCTGATCAAGCCGTACCCTCTTGAGTGACATTATTGTCGTCTCATCTTCCTGGGACAGTTTCAGGGCAGTTGCCACTTTGGTCGACGTCGACGCGATCTCTGCGCTCAGCTCCCTGCATTTCGACATCAGCCTTTTCTCATTCTCCCGCGACTTCTTCAGAGCACGGACGAGTTTCTCGTACTCCGCCCTGATCCCGTCCAGGCCGCTGTCGCTGGCCAGCTCACCGAGGACAACCTGAGACTCCTCTGGCGATGACTCTGAACAGTCATCTCCTTCAAGTTCTGTCTCCTGGAAATGAAGCAGAGCGGTAAATACAGTAAAATGTGATGAAAATGGTCTGCTCTTTACTGGGATAATGGACTTTTTTTGACATCAAAAGGGTTTTCTGTAAATAAAAAAAACTCACTCAGCCGTTGTGTAGATTTGCTGTTGTGTTTGGGGTCATTGCTCTGCTGATCACTCAGCCAAACTATAGCTGACAGACAGCTGGCCTCACATTTCATACAGAAATAAGCAACGGCCAGTGTACCACTGCAACATGAAAATTACTGACACAAAGCCTAAATGCTGAAAGAAGTTCCAAAGAGGTAACAAGTGAATAGTATTGATAATAAGCCGATGACAGACTGAAAGGAAAATAAATTGATTTATTTGAGTTATATATATATATATATATATATATATATATTATATATATATATATATATATATATATATATATGTATATATGTATATATATATATATATATATAGCTATATATAATATAGCTCTATTTGTAAAGCTACTCCAAGACGAACATGTTGAGTCACAATTATTGTATTTAAGTTGAATTTGTTGCATCATTTTATCCATTTAATTGGTTCGTTTTATAATTAAGTTAATTTTTTTTACTTTGTATTGCTATTAGTATATATATATATATATATATATATATATATATATATATATATATATATATATATATATTTTTTTTTTTTTTTTTAAACCATGACTGTAAATCTCTTGGACCATAGATGTGCAGTAATCATTCCTAAACTTTAACAGCACTGAATATGCTATTTATCTCACACTACACAAGTCATTACAGACAACATCACGACAAAGAAAATGTCCAAATATGCAAAATAATGGCGTCCACGTCAAAACGTTTCCTCCTTCGAGGAAACTGACTTTTTTTTGTATTCAGTTAAGTCAATTTTGATACACGCGTGTAAAACCTAACACTGAACGACTCCCTCTTGTACATCATTTTTAATATTCGCTGACACAAGTCGGTTCGCAAACAGCTGAAGTTGTCATAAAAAAAATAATAATAATAATAAATAAAATGGAGGCATGTCAGTTTCTGTTTCAGACCTGTTTCTTTACGAACCGAACTCACCTCCATGGCACGAGCCGAGAAAGGCTAAAAATAATTCCGTATAAATAGCATACAGCCGAATGTTGGTACTGGTTGCTTAGCAACGTCAGATCTCGCGGGATCCAAAAGAGGAAGGGGAAAAAAAGAAAAAAAAGGGGGGAAAAAAGATTGCCGGGGCTGGTTTCCTGGCAACCGCTGATCTCGCGAGACGGTCGTCGAGGCGCCTTGAAACGAACACAACTTCAGTTTCAAGTTCATCATCGAAAGACTTTCATGAATGGATTCGATTTCATATGCTTTTATACTTTTTATCTATTATTATTATTTTTTTTTATGTTTTTGTTTCCCCTAATCAGCCGAGTCAGAGGAGCTGCTGTGTTTGAAGCACATTAAACATGGCATTTAAAAGTAAACAAAAGTTTTCTTGTGCCACGATGTGTTGCCATGGGGAAAAAAAAAAAAACAGCACCAAAACCCACCACACATTTCATTCTGTTCAGCCTGCGTTGATTCCTGGAGGTTTTCGTTGTTGAGAGTGATTTCAGCCTGTTGGCTCGGTTACCCATGCCTGGTCCAGAACCAGAGAGTGTCCTCTCTGGAGACACTGAGGTATGTGTCTCCATCGCCCTCTCTGCTTGGCAAATGTGAAATAACAAATGCAAAGCGATAAACCAGAAATGTGCATTTTCAATGTGTAAATATATCAATTGTAAATATCACAATTGACATTTCTGGGTTTAGTTGAAATAAGAGCAAAAGCAAAGGAAATGAGGAAGTCGGTGGACAGTTTTATTAGCGCGAACTAAAGTAAAAATGTACAACTGCATAGGATTGTGAAGTGTGTTGGGGAAGAACTGTTCCTTTTTTTAAAAGTCGAAAAATATAATAGTAAAATACAAATTACTTGAGGTGCAAGATGCAGGGTGACTTCTGCACAGATTTGTTAGAAACAGGAATTTAGGACTCAAGTTTAAATTATTTGTGAATGTTTCCTATGCAAATTATATATTAAGATTCCAATGTAATACATGTGTAAATGGACCCTTGTGTTTCCTTTTTTTCTGGATATTTCCTTTTTTTCTGGATATTTGAGCCTCTTCCTTGAAGAATTAGTCATTAAAGCTGACTGATGATCAGTTTTCAGTAGCATACAAGTCAGGACTTTGAGAAGACCATTTCAAACTGTTTCATCCGTTCCAATACCCGTCACCACAAGTCATCAATGTGCTTATTTAAGAAATAGTTCTGGATTGTCCAGTTTGTCAGAAGCAAGCTGCAGTCTAGTGTTGACTTTTTTATGAAAAGTATTTATGTATGCTGATGGTAAAACTGTGTTCCAAGAGTTTCCAAACGTTGCCACAGAGAATATAACTATCGTTATGATAGTTACAGCAAAAATTCACACAGGAAAATGATTAAATCTCCAATAAAACATTTTGTGTTTACGTTCCTGAGACGTGGACGCAAACTTGCTACTAAAACGTTGCTGTGAATTTTGCATTCAAAGGCACCAGAGGACCATAGCAGTGGGGATGCTTCTCAACAGTCTTGGTTCATCGAGATTGGGAAAGCTAAAAAGGCCAAAAGGGCGGCTCTGATCCAGAGCGTCGAGAGACTGTGTGCCTCACAAACAGCCCGCAGCAAAGCTGTCCTGGACAGACTGCAGGACACCTTCCCTGCACCTCAGCTTCCAGCAAGCCTCTCGCCACTCCCCGAAGCGTCGCCGAGAGGAAAGAAGGTCAAGCGCACTCCGAATGTGAAGGACAAAAGTAGCCAGACACAGGACACCGATCAGATATGGTGTGAGGAGGATTTCGTGTTTCAGAAGAAGCAGCATCCAGGTGGTCAGGCGGTGGCACTGGGTGGTCCATTGCCCGACATTTCAGGGGAAAGCAGAAACGTGGGGGAAGCCCTGAGCCCCGTAGACGCACACACACCCAGAGAGATGAGGTTTACCACCGATCTGAGGAGCCGGCCCAGCTCAACCCTCACCCCAGCTCCTCACCCCGGACCTAAACCCAGGAGACAGTCTCGCCTCCCGGTGATAATAGGCAGAGCGGGTAAGATCAGATTATGGACTGAAGATAACTTCTTTCATGTAAGAAATATCTGACAGGAGATCAGCTGACAGCTGTTACATTTTATCAAGGAAGGTAGCATTTCTGTTTGTTTTTTTTTTTTTTTTCTGAAAAGACAAAGAAGCGTCTGGATGCAGACTTCAGTCAGCCACAGCTGAAACGGAGCCGATGCCACAAAGACTGCAGCGGCACGTCGAACGCACCGGCTCACCTCAGCCGCTGACCTCTTCGAAGAAGATGGCTATTGTCGCAGCGCAACCTGCAGAGCTCGTCCCGACCGACAGGACAGGACCTCTCCGAGAGAAAACTCTCAGTCCTCCAAAGTCCGACTTCACGGCAGGGAAGACTAGATTCCCACCCCTGACCGACACGTCAGAGAGCGCGCCCCCCTGGCTCAGACAGCTCAGCTCCCACAACTGGTATGACAGCAGCAACACTACCAAACCTCCACAGGGAGATTATGCTACGCAGCTCATACGGTAAACCAGGGTTTTTGAAAGTGGGGGGCCATCAAGAGGCCCTAAGTGTCTTTGGGTTTCCCAAAAGTTAGTTCTGTTCGGGAGGCCTTGGGATGGACAAGTTTGGGAACCCCTGCTATAACCTGTCGGAAACAGAGCTCTGTTGTTGGAGCAATGGCCTAATAGTCTTTGTTCAACACAGGGAAAAGAAAATGGATGGAATGAAATGTGTCACAGATCTGGCACAGCACCATCCAGAGCAGCTGAAGACCAAACTCCACGAAGTCTGCCGAGTCTTGACAGAGGAGGTGCGGACATGCCTTCACGGCGCTGGTCTTGGTTTCAGTTTTCTAACTGAACCACAAAGATGTTTTCTTTCTTTTTGTATTCTTTTCTCCTTTGCAGGTTAAAAACCAGCGTCCTTCTTTAGCCGGCGCCGTTATTGACACCATAGCAGCGCTCCACACTCAGCTGGGGAAGTCAATGGACCCCGAGGCAGAAAGAACCAGTGACGCTCTGCTGCTGAAGCTGGCGCAGACCGCCAACGAGTTTGTCCACCAGAGAGCTAATCTGGCCCTGGACGCAGTGGTGAAGGGCTGCAGTCCTGCTAAAGTTCTGAATGTTCTGCTCAGCACAGGCCTGAGGTAGGAGGAGCTGGGATGTCTAAAGAAGTTCACATCAGCATCACGTGGAGATATCTCTTTCTGGCTTTGTCCTCCTTCAGCCATCACTGTGCTGCAGTGAGAGAGAGCGCCGCGCAGCACATTCACCAGCTGAAAAATATCACCGGACAGGATTACATCCTGAAAGCAGGACGGAGGTTTTCAGGAGGTTTCCTCATTGCGGTCAGCAAGATGTGTGTGGACTCTAATCCTGAAGTCAGGTTTGTTCTCAAATGGACAAAATGCTGACTGTGTGATAAGTGTCAGTGTCTTAGCCACCTTCAGTAACCAGCTGGGAACTGTGTTGCTGCACAGGAATCATGGACAGGACATGCTGGGGGAATTTGCCCAGCACACAGAGTTTATGGTCCAGTGGCAGAAGGCTGTCCCCGCTAAGGCCAGGGCTCAACTGGTCAAACTTTTGAAGAGGATGAGACGGCAAAAGGTGGTTCCAGCTGTCAATCAAACTCCTTCCAACATTTTGGCCGCACTTTAATCTGTAGAGCGCTGCAAAAAAAAAAAAAAAAAAATTGGTCGAAATGATTTGTTTTCACGCAGATTTGCTGGAAATGTCGTCTCAAAACGCTTTAGAAGACAAACACTTCCAGTTTATATGCCGTTCGTATAATCCTGACTCATGGCCTGATCTGAAGTCAGTTCCAGTTCGACTTTAAATGCGAGACAGTGACGTCGAGTTCAGTTTTCTGTTTGACCTCCTCCACATTTTGTTGAAGAAGGCTCGCATTAAGGTTTCTAAAAGCAAACCTTGATGCCTTCATTACACAGACCAACTCAAAGTTCTCATCACTGCTTCAAATACTCTCAAATGTTTTTTCGACCCTAAAACGTTTTTCTGAGGTTGGATTTTGGATATACTCTGCCGCTTGTTGCCTTCACAAGCAATTTAATTCACGGCAGTTTAAATCCAGCCATTCTAAGAAAGCTTCCAAAGAAGGTGGGTCATAAAAAAAACCCCGTCTCAGGCAAACAAGGTCGGTGTAGAAGAAGTGGAGCAGGTCATAAATCCGTTTACTTTCACTAGACACATGCCAAGGCCGAAACACGGCTTCATTGTGTTGTTATAAGTCACGTTTTAGGACTGAGATACTCGATTGTGCGCTCTCATTTGCAACTAAGCACCGTGTCACTGTGCAGGCTCAATGGACAAGAACTGAGGTAGAGATTTGTCCAGCAGATGGCGCTGTTGAGGAAGGCTGAAAAGAAGACTGCTCCCATAGGGGGAGAGGGAATGTCTGTCGTTTAATTGTACAAGATTGTTCCGGGGACAGACACGGGTCCAATCAGAAGTAAATCTGTGGAAGACGGTTTTCTGTAACCGACTCTTCATTACACCAACTGAGCAAATGATCAAATAAAAAGTTTTACATTTTTTGTGTGTGTGTTACGCTCAAATTTAGCTTGGAAGAATGTCTTGTTTGAATATTTCAAGAGGGATGAACCGTTATATATTGTTACAATATTAATATTACTAATATATTGACAAAAATAATATGCTAATAGGTGCTTGATGACAGGTGAAGTGATGGTAATCCTAGTCATTCTGGTTCTTTATTGAGTCAGTTTTCCCCTTTTGCTTCACAACCTATTTTATTCATCCTGAAATTATTCAGGAACTTTTTCGTTTGTTCCATTGAAATAGACAATTGTAATAATAACGTTAACCATAAAAATTTTGGGTTTGTGGTTTGTAAATTAAAACTGTTGGAATCAGACATAATGATCCCCAAGAGGATGGGACGAGCTACTCCCATCAAACGTGTTTCAATATCAGGCAACACTAATATCAACATGTGACATAAAATGAGCAAAATTCACACTGATGAAAAGACCTAGATGCTAAACAAAAAAAGAATCGCATCGTTACGGCATAAAACGTCCAGTGGTCCGAGTCAATGAAATAAATCCAACAGTCTTGTTAGAAAATTTAAACATTTTATTAAATAAAAACCGATGTAATATACACCATTCTGAATATACAACTACAACAAGCATACCAAGACGTTTCAAATACAAAAAAAAACTGTTGAATTCAGTTGCTTTCGCTTTTTAGGGAAGGGTGGGAGGTTGAGCAGGAATTACAGTAGCCATACATTCCTAATAGTGCTTGTGCAAACCAATATAAAAAAAGCGTCATGAGGAATGGATTTCGTAAAGGCAGAAAAAAGATAAAAATCAAATAAATGTACAAGGTGCACATGTAGGACGTCAGATTTTCATGAAGAGATCATTTGAGGTACAGAGTTGTCTATCCCTATAATGAAAAAATAATGTTAGTTATGCTTTAAATACAAGTCAACTCATCTTAGGAAGAATTAGAAGATATGAGTTTAGTTTGTTCGTCTTCCTCTTGTATTGCATTTTATAATCATAAAAAAACCCTATAATTTTCTGATAAATTGAATCTCTTTTTTGTAACAAGGCAGTAACAACAAAGATTTGAATCACAGAACAATGTTTTTCTTCCCTCCGGTATCACTACTTGCAGGTTCGTCTATCTGTGGGTTTCGGAGAGGTTCGGTTTCGCGAGAACTTTCCAACGCGATCTTGGACGAGCCGGGTGACGACGCCGGCGCGGAAAAAAAACTCACTTCCTTCGATATGTTCGGAACCCTCCGCGGGGCTTTTTAATGGTTAAAATATCAAAAGTCGAACGCGAACGTTACGCTCAGCACCAAAGACAAAGTGTAGATACTATTTGCATCCATCCATGTGGCAGATGTAGAAGCACTGATCCAAAAACAAATCCAATTCAAATCAACCATCTATCAAAGTTATTTGCTTTAAAATGTGCCCCTCCGAGAAGTTTGTCTAATTTGGATCTTGGAATTCCCTGAAAGGACAGTGGAGGGGGTAAAAAAATGATCAAAATAAATCCTAACACCTCTGCCTCGCGTGAGCGCAGCGGGTCGATCGATCGGCCAAACAGCGATCTACAGTACAGTACAGGTTTGTGTAGCTACATTTTGTCTGAAGCAAGGACAAAAACAAAGAAATAATTTTAAAAAAAGCACCACAGATATTTGTTTTTTTTATTTCGCTTTTTTAATATATATATATATATATATATATATATATATATATATATATATATATATATATATATATATATATATGTGTGTGTGTGTGTGTGTGTGTGTGTGTGTGTGTGTGTGTGTGTGTGTGTGTATTTATAGCACCAGTTGTTATTATGAAGTTGATGGTTGTCTCTATTTTTTTTGTTGTTTTTTTGGCAATTTACAGCACTGAATTGAGAGCGCGGTGTAGCATTTAGCAGCTCCACCTCCGCTTTGGAGCAGAAGGCGCAGAGAAACGTTGGCTGACTTGCACATGCGCCGGGCTGGAGCTAAACTGACGGATTTGGATCGATTCGAGTCGGCGTCGAGAAGCGCTCGCGTCTTTCACTGCAAACACAAACATCACGTCGGAAACTTTTGTGGAGTGTGGAGCTGTGTCCAAACTGCATTTGGACCTCAGTGCTTCTACAGGCGGAGAGCACCGATTGAATGGAAAATAAATCACAATTCATGCCAAGAAATGTATATATTTATATTTAAAAAAGAAAAAAAGTTTGTTTTTTTTTAATGGATAATCAATGATTAGTATGGTAAGGTACAGTATGTCTGCTATTCACACGCACTATAAAAACTAATTTACCGTCCTTTTTTTGTTGTTGTTTTTTTCATGAGGATCTCTTTGTAGATAAAAAGATATACAGTACAGTTCGGTGCACCAATTTCTTCTCTTCTGAACAACGCAGGAGCTTAGATAGACAACATATTTCTCTACTCTGTGTACAGTTCTTCATCGCTACAGTACAGAGCAACGTATGAGTACAAAAATAATAGGATATTGAGTTTTACATTCTTGAAAAGAAGAACCGTCCCGTTAATCTAGCTTCCAACACAAGTGTCGTCTTCTCTCTAGGATAATAAATTGATATTAAATTCCTAAGCTATTTTCTAATATTTCATTTTTAAGCACTCACATACAGTAAAGACACTGATATCACACCATGTTACACCGTGTCACTGAAGTAGACAGTACACTACTCAGTTCTCAGTCTCAGTTCTGATGTGCATCATGTTTTCCTCAACAATATATATATATATATATTATAGTAAGCTCTTTTGAGATATTTACACGATATTAAATAATTTTTGATAAATATTTTTTTTAAATAACTTCTTTTTTTTTTAGCCTGAATTATAAATCTAAACTGCATTTAGGTACGCTATCCAGCCTGGACGTTTTTCATCAATACTCAGACTTCTGTTGTCACAGCAATGAGTGGCAAAGGTCACCAATGTCGGCAGTCTTGCAAAGACTGATGGGATCAGTCTGAATATGTTCGACGGCTGCGCTTCAGATCAAACTGGTTAGGCCTTACTGTGAGGTCTGCAGATGTTCAATACGCATTCATTTATCGTTTACAAAAACAAACAAACAAAACAAAAATAAATAAGACGCAGTGGCTGTCAGACGTTTGGGAGCCTTTTGTTTAGAAGAGGCCGGTCTCTAAACCTTCGATTTCACTTAGCATAAATCAATTTACAATTAAACGTGGCGAAAACAATCATGGCATCAATTAATAGCCATGTGTTCATGTTTTAATCTTTCTCAATTTACACAAAAGTGATATTTAGTCTTTAGGATTTCTAGAGGGATAGCTTTTTAACTTGTGGTTCTTTTGAGTACTAAATCTACCAACTGATCTCACATCATATTAAAACCCTTTTTTGGTGAAACTGCAGACGTTTTCACTGTCGGTCGTCAGATTTCACGTCGATTACTGTCTCCCTTCCAGATCCTTCTTACAGCTGAGACTGCAGAGAAGCGGTTGGATCGTTTCAGTTTGTCATTTTCTTTCACTACTAACCTATGTTGTTCCATCATGAGGGATCCAGCAATTCTACACATTTATATGATTCTCGTGATTATACAAAAATAACAGAGAATCACTCAGAGACAAGATTCATCGCTGTTTTCATTCTAATAAGAAGAAGAATGAAAAACTTCCCTCCTTGCTATTTAACTTGATGGATCGTAACTGTAGTCGCTGTAGCTGCCATTTTATGTCCGGCTTACGTCAATATCTGACTCAGTATTAAGAGATAAATAATTGGATCCATAATCCTGCCATCCAGGACAAACGAAACCTCAAAACTACTACTCAAAAAAACAAGTTCTGATGCCACTTGCCCTTCAGACAGGATTTTAAAAAAACCTTACTGTGTGAATACCAAACATGTACAGTCTGTACATATATGTTTGCTGCTAATGCAGGCTATGTGAAATTTGTATAGATTTTAACTGCAGTCTGGTTTTCATTATTTTGAGGACAATTTTACTTGATCTAATATGCCACAACTAAACTGTTATACTGTAAAATATAACTACACCTCAATTAAGAAATTCATATGCATCCCTCTGGTGTCTGCTTTTCAAAGGTGTCTGCAAATCCCACCACCAGATTCACAACCCCGCTCTCCCAAAAGGAGTCAATCGTAACAATCAAAACAAAAGGGAACGTGAGACACCCTGTTTGTCTTTTAACACCAGTGCATTGTTTTTTATTATGGCGGTTTTAGCTCCGTCCCGATGGGATTTTGAATCCAATCAGGACTTCCGGCACCCTCTTATTTCCCCTCAAGAACTAGAAAAATACAGTTCCAGACATGGAATTTGTCCTCTGTTTTGTTTGTAAGGATCTGTCCTCTTGTAGCACCTGTAGCTGATTGAAGAGCCCCTGTTTGACACCACTGCTGAAGCACCTGTGATCAATCACCATCACATCAGAATGTGAAAACCGTGTTGTGTTTGAGCCGGACCTTAGAATACCTCAGAACGCAAAAAGGTCATTGCCAGCGATTGGCCGCTGACGAGCTGCTGCTGCTTGATCTCTGTTGACGATAATCGTAATGTGGTAGCAAGATTGAGGACTGACATTTGTTAAAACAATTAAGTTATTTCCACACGACATAACAATCTGTGGAGGCACATTTCCAATGTCAACCTAAAACACAAGAGCATTCATTAAAATCCTAATCAATACATTGTAAACATTTGCGTCATTATACCTTATAGCAAATGAAAACCAAAAATTTAATAAAACAGAATTGCTGTGTTCCATAATATTAACAAAATGGACATTTTTAATGCGGAAATTTGGTCCCGCTTAAAAGTTTGTTTATGTCGTAGGTGACTGGATGGATCTCCTAATGTATGAATTTCTACATCAATAGAGTGTATCAGTTTCTGATTCCTTCACATCAGATGTTAAAGAAGCCTTGTGATCTCTACGGCCCTCAGCAAAACACAGATGAACTTCAGGGGTCAACCCATCTTTGGAAGGGACATGCTGATCTGACTTTCCAGTGTTTAGTGGTTAGCACTCCTGTCTGCATGTACTGTGGAAATATCTTAACCAGACCAAATAAATGAAAACAATGAAGATACGACAAATATCTAAAGGCTTTGTAAGACCAGCAGCTTAAGATCACAGAAAAAAAAATCAAACAGAATGCATATCCCACATGAGACATTTTCACAGCAAACGTCCCCATTGACTTTAAAAGTACTTGCACAAATCAAAGAAACTGAGCACCTTTGAGGTTGAAGAAGAAGAAAAAAAAACGAAGACAATATCGGGCTAATTGTTGCTGCGCATGTCCACTGTCTGTGATTTAGAGAGCCACGTAGCAGCAGAATGTGCAGAGTAGGACGTGGTTGATACAGTTATGGCACCTTGTTGTAAATGAAAAGTCCTTTTTTGAGTGTCCTCATTCTCATGCAGTCTTAAAACGCAGGTACAGACGAGCAATAAAACGCTGCTAATGCCAGTGGAAAATGCAGCTAAACACACCTTTTGGCTCACTTTGTTTCACCTTAAATGAGTTCTGCTTTGCGCTGAGTACAGATCGACTCGCATAAAAATACAATAAAGAAAAAAAGAAAAAGAAATGGAGTACAATTAAAAAAAAAAACACAAGTAAGTAAAGCAGGCAAACAGGTATTTCTCAGGCCAAAGTAAACAGTGTGTTCTATACGTTTACACCGATATACCGAGGTACAAAATCCTATCCTCCAATGTCTACTCAAATTTTAAATAAAACTTTTGGCAAAGAGTTTCTCAACAGAATTTGGAGCCCTCAGTGGGGCAAGAAGAGGAAAAAGCAAACGCAATGGAACTGATAAGATTTTGCTCCAGTGCAAACAGCTGTATGACAAAAGTTGCACTTGTTCAAGCAGAAGCTCTTGTTAACGAAGCATGTATACGACTTCCTACTGAACGTAACGATGTCTATCGTGATGGTTGGAAATGCCGTGTCTCCACATCTGATTTGCCTTTTGAATGCAATGGACTGGATTATAGCAAATAAAGAGTGTAGTTTGGAAACAAGTTAAAGGGTTTTTTTTTTGTGTCTTTTTTTTCTCTTTCGTTTCTTTGACATTCCTAAAACGAGTAAGTCCTTGTCCTGATTATTTACAGCAGAGCAGAAAAGCTGAGAATGTCAGCTTCAGGTTAGCTTCGGCATTTTCTGACGTGGATTAGCTGAACAGGAAATATATGGCCCCTTTAAAAACAGAGGAAAGATACGTTTTCAGCATTGCAGGAGTGAAGAAAGAGTGTTTCTTATTTAGACAGGAGAAGTCAAAGAGCTGAGCTGGTTGACTCCAGTGGTTGTGTGGTCTCGTGTGCTCTGAGGTAAAGTTGGTAGGAAGTAAGATCGTCCTTATATGTGAGGCAGAGAATTCATTGGAAGGACCTGTAAACGGAGGTGTGGGGGGGAGACTGCACTCAGTGGGAAACAGACCCGCTCAGCTTAGCGTGAATCATTTCGACTCTTCAATGGATAAAGGAATAAAGGGGACTCTGGAACAACTTTGGGGAAAACAGCGTTGAGCGATAAAGTCCCGCCACTTGTTGGTAAAATTTTGACTTTTGCACTGGAGTAAATGTTCAATTGGAATCCCAAAATCAGTGACGTTACTTTCAGAAGGATGTACTAGCTAACTTAAAATGATGCACAACACGTGTGTGACTCTGCGCGTCCCTATTAGTTTGTAACGAATCATCCAGACTTTTTTCCACAGGAACTATCTTACGGCTACAACTCCAATCTGGGAGATCACTCTAGATTCTCTTCCTTACTACTCTTAGTTAAAATAAACCGAGACGAAATGATTTGTACTGGAATATAATTTTTCTTTTTGTGTCTTTACTAGAAAATGTTACAATTTCGAAGTCTTTGTTCAGTTTATACCCTAGAGTACTCTAGGTTATTGTCAACAGCAATCCAATGGTAAATGCAAATTCAATAAAACTAGCGTGAACCTGTAGATTGCACTAAATCTGTACTCTGACATGTACTGTTGTCTCCATTTTGTAGATAATGGAAATAAAGACATTCCACTGACTTTGCTGTCTTGTCTAGCAGGAACGCAGCTACTGCAGTGTATTGATGGAATGGTAACGGGAGCCTGTCCCTGGTTGTGATCTCATCCCCGGGGCCTTTCAGAGGAAGGTGGCATGGTCTAGGTCCATGTTGTCCATGCTTGCTAGAATGGCCTTCTGGTCCTCCCGTGGTGGACGGCGGTACAGCAGAGCAGAAAAGCGAGCATACGGATCATGAAGAATGGGCCGCTTCTTCTTCTTGCAGAGGTAGAGCGCTTCTTCGGGCTGGAGTACCTGAGAGGTGTAGGCCTGCTGGGTCTGAGAGGTGGAGACACCTGGTGGAAGAAAATTGCCAGCTGCACTTATGATGAATGCAAAAGGAGTGACGCTGAGACCCCTAATGCAAACGTTTAGATTTGTACCTTGTCAAAATTATGAAGATATTTCAACCAAGACATTCAGAATTTCCACCTGTAATTAAAACATGCAACATCTGTCTTGACTACGATACTCTGTACATTTTAGACGGTATGTCTCTTCACCGGTAAATCCATCCGTGTCTGTAAAGTCATGCGACTCTATAAGGGCGCTATGACGATGATGCCAACGGTTTCAGCAGCTCGATATCAAAACGGAAGAACATCCTGAGCATTGTTGAAGATACAGTTCAAGCTGCAGTCAGGAGTTCAAAGAAAACTGTGGACTTAGCCTGAAAATTTGAACAAGCGTACCTTACAGGTCTCTCTCCCTTGCTTCTTGCTGCATTAGAGCAATCCTGTCAGAGATCCTACCAAGAATAGCAAATGTCACTAGATGTAGTTGTTTTTGCTAAATCGCAGCTGGGATCTGTTCCGGTACAATCTATGAGGGTAACTGTTTTGCTTAAATTCCAGTCTGATTAGATTTTGGTTTATTTTCTTCATTCTCTTTTCTTGGAACCTGGTCTTGTGTCTCGTTGCTAGGTTTTTGGTTCTACGAGGTTGTCATGTATTTGCAATCCAGGCACTTTTTCGTCCTTTGTTACCCCCTATTGGGTGTGGAAAACTGTCTATACCTGCTTTCTTTCTGGTCTTTGAGTTGTTGTTGTTCATCGTCATCTTCTTGGCCTTTCTGACACGCTGGTATCTCAGTGTGTCACTCCTCTCAGACCCCGAATGGGCTCTCAACGCACCTCGACGTTTTCTAAATGAAAGGAAGAGAGAAAGGGAAAGCACGGGTAACTCTGGGCCGATCGTGGTCAGCACATTGTGTTTGTGCATCGAGAAGAGCACAAAGCCCCAACCCCCAAAATCAACACTATTACATGGACTAAAAATGATACAACTCATTAATTAACCTGAAATCGAGCAGCATATGAGCTTAATATGAGAATATGAAATACATCTAGCTTAACCATAAAACGTCTGGTCAAAATTTGAATTTACATGAATTCGATGCATCTTGAAAAAATGTTTTCATTGAACGACATAATCTATATTTTACTGATAAAACCTACATCTTGAACATCAGACTCCCCAGTTTATCCCTACAGTGCAGATTAGATCACTGAGTGTAGCGGATACATCGATACGACATTTAAACAGGTCTCAAACTGTTGGTTTCAGAGCCAAATTTTTCAACAAGATTTTCAATGAAGAGGCATGTTAAGTACAAAAACACTTTTGTAGTTGGATCTTTACTGTATAAATGACCGAACGGCTTTCTGAAAACAACAGTGACATATACTTTATTGGTAAGTAGAGTATATTTGGCAGCTTGTCACCAACTCCCTCCTGTTTATGGAGGCACATAGCGTTTGGCAGCCCACAGATTTCTGCCACAAACACACAGAAAACAATTAGCATTGCAAAGAGGCCATCTTCCCACCGTGGCTGCAGAGAGAAACCAAATGCTGTTAGTAGAGGGGGAGAATCACAGCTGAGCGACAAAGCATCATCAATATGTGTTCATAGACATGGATACTGTCTACAATGGGCTTCACCATGCTGACAGGGGGAGAGATGGCGGGAGGGGAAAATGACTACTCAGGAACAGTCACATAATGAAAAATAAGCCAAAGAAAAGCGAAGCACCAGGACAACAAATGTAACAAGATTTTTTTTTTTTCCTTTCCCATATAATTGTTTTGTTTTTGAAACGGAGAAGCAATATTTAGCAATGGCATGCATGGCAGTTTGCACATGGAACATGACTTTAAAGGGGAATACATTCAAAAGCACTTCATTGGGCACTTCAGTCTATTTTTAGGGTGTCGTTGACCCCTTGAGTGCCTGACTTCTGCAAAGTATTTGTTCCTTAGAATAAAATCAAGTAGGTGAGCATCTATGGCAGGACACAGAGAAATCTGTTCTGCAGTCCAAACTTATGGCTTGTCAGAATTAATGCACAGTTGCTTTATGCAGAGTATTACATCCCTGTGTCCACCAGCAATACGTCTCGGTTTATAGTGGGGCTGCAGCTTGATCTAGACTTCTGTTGCTCCACAGCTTTTCGGAACCTGGGAAGAATCTACTGCATTTTCTACATAACGATATATATGTACGTATATATATATTTTTAAAAAACTTGCTAAGCACAGTAGCTGAGATTTAGAAATGTGCTTCGTCACTGCCAAAAACAAGCAACGCCCTTTCTGCTTTGCTGTTAAAAAATGTAAAAAAAATAAAAATAAAAATACACGTATATGACGTACATTCAGCTGGGGAGACTCGTAGCCAAAGATGACACAGATGAAACAATCTATGCCTAGGTAATTTATCTTTATGTAGTGTTTTAACAGCAAATATGTATCTCATAAGTTCAATTTACATTAAAAAATATCCTATTACTCCCAAAGGGAAATTAATTACAATTTTTTCATATTAAAAATGAGAAATGAGAAAGTTCTCCAGGGCTTTTGCAACAATGTTTGACTCTCTTTGTCAAACATTGTACTCTGAAATTTTGCGGAGGTCAACAGTGTAGAGAAACTACAAACGTCTCTGTGTCATTATGTCTGAATTCCAGCAGTCTAACACGGAAGTCCTATTTTCAACACCTGCCTGTACATGTGATTTGTGATCAGAAAAATTAAGCAGGTAAGAGAGTTACACAAGTCGTTTCTCCAGCTGATGATATCAGAAGACATACTTCTTAAAATGCAGTTTATTAAATGATTGCAAGGGCTTTATATTTATCAAAGGGCAGTCTTAAGTATTTTCCAGGCATATAGTTCTGTTTAAAATCAAGTAACTATGTTACCTTCAGTTGTTATAGAAAATGCTCTATATATACAAGAGAAATGTGTCATCACAATTTAACCCCTTGAAAATGGGCCTCTGTCTCTTTAAAATCTGCTGTTTATTCTGAAACTCTACCTTCAGAAGACATCACAACATCGTTCCTCCATTAACCCTTTAAGAGCATTTCTACCAGCATTTCACTGAGAAGTAGCTTGTATGATGAGCTCAACAGGTGCGCAGTTCCACCAGGTGTTTCCTAATTGCTGCTGGCTAGTCTGAAGGAGCTGAGCGGGAGAATCACGGAGGAGGGCTGCACTGTGAGTCGGCAGCTCAGAAGTTTGGAAACTGTGACTCTGAGGAGGAGCTTTGCCTCAATGGTGGAGCTCGGTCCAACCAGGCGTTTTGCACGGCTGAATGGTTGTCACGGGAGGCGAAAGGATTTATCAAACATGCATGAAAGAATCAAGGCAAATTTCCGTGTATGTTTTTCATGAGAGCATAACATCATATTATGATGTAAAAAAAAGTTGAGTTTACATCATACCGTCCCTTTAGCCTTTTGGCAGTAGGGAGATCTGTTACATTGGTCCAATAGAGGTGAGCGCTCAGTGTTCTTATAATACCAGGAGGATGGAACAGCATATTTGGCTTTAAGATGACTTTTCTGATGCCACCTAATTAGTGTGACTGCAGGAAAAATGCATTCCAATTAGATGTATTGTGCAAAAAAAAAAATATATCAATATTATTGTGTATTCCACCCATTTTCTTTTCGTGAAAATGGTTTAAACCTGAGAACTGCTGACCCATGTTGTCAACCTGTATGTCTTTAATTGCTCACTTGTTGTCCTTCTCAAAAGCTTATGAGTCAACAATTTAGTACCATTTAAAAGAAATCAATTGACAGTGAATAGGCTGATTCAGCAATTTCCCCCTTAGTTTGTGCAGAAGCTATTCTGTGCCATAATCTATTGGATGCTAACGATTACGTTTGATACCTTTGGAATAAAGAATGTGATAAACTAGTATAGGTTGTTTGGCCTTCGCAATGATAAGGCCAGTGCTCAATGACAGCAAAAACAGCTGGATCTGCCTTAAAACCTTGATGAATGTTGGACCTTGAATGAGTTTGAAGATTCACTTTAATGTGCTCAAGTCTACATCCTCTCCTGTTCCACAATGTCTTTATTGGAACCTTAATCTAAAGCCCCTTCCAAATCATTCTTTAGTTTCATCATTGCTTAGCACTAAAAATGAGGTATTGGCACAGAATGAAGGGCTAAACTTAACTCACCAACGGTAATGCTCCCTCTTATCCATCTTGAGAAGAAGTCAGAAACCTAGATCTCGGTTTGGTTGAAGTGAACTCTAGTGCGGTTCGGATGCATATGCCAAGAGGCCCAGAGACCAATCAAGAGTCACGAAACGGACTTTAGCGCAAGGCGTTCTGGATAAATACACAACTAAAACAAACATGTCTAGCACTTGTGAGAGTAATGGTTCGTAGTCTTTACCAAAGACAAAAGCTGAAATCTGATGCCGCTGTCTTGGAGTTCCCAGAAGAAAATCTAACATGCCCTAAACAAGTCATATATTCTACCCCTTTCATTCTCCATCCACATGGCCTGAAAACACCATGCATTTTGTAGCAAAGCCAGGTTCAAGGCATTTTATTTTTTATGACAGCAAAAGTCAACAAGATTTGAAATACCAGTTTGTGATGGCATGTTTGCTTTATTTCATCTTATATTTTATTTCACTCGCTCAATAAATATGAAAAGTTCATGTGTGTTTTGCTGAACTACTATCTGAAAGGATCTTAAGTCACAACAAACAGTCAGTTTTATTGGGGGGTAGCTTAAACAGGCAGGCAAACTCTGCCTGCAAGGCTTGAGGAACAATTTACTCAGCTTCTGCAAATAAAGTTGACACAAACAAACAATGATTGATTCCATCCTGGTAAAAAATGTTCAATGAAGTAAATGGTAGACTAATGGGTTAAAGGAAACAAGACAAAATGAGGTACACATTCAACTCCTGTACAGTTCTTGACATGCAATTCTTGTGGAGGTTGGGGGAGTTTGTTTTATTTATTTGTTTGCTGGGCGCTGACCATGCAGTTTGTAGCAAAGCAAAGTCAAGACCGCAGCGGTTAGGAGTGCAATGTGTTTTGACGCAGAAGTTTAGGAAAACATTTACTTGCCACGTAGGTCAGGTCTAAAATCAGCGCCCAAATTCACAACCCAGATTTATAGGCAGCTGGCTTGCACAGAAAAAACGAGGGTGTGGCTTGTTGACTTTTTACTTGGTGGAACTGAGTTGCTGCTGTGGAAACTGGAGGCTATTCACAGATATTACCACTATGAAAATATCTGTAACATTTTAACTTTTGACTCAATATTCTTTTTTTATAATTACATATAAATCTGAGGCTAAAACCCCCCACCTATATCTATAAGCCACAACATACAACTGCAGTGCCTTGCAAAAATATTCATACCTCTTGAACTCTTTTATACATTACCTCCATATACTTGAATGTATTTTATGAGGCATGTACATACAGTAGCAATTAAAGTAAGAGATAGTAAGAGGTAAAAAAAAGACCATCACATACAAGCAATAATTTTAAAAGTGTGATAAGTGTATTAATTATCCTCCTTATTCTAATTGCGTTCAGTAAAATCCAGAGCAACCAATTACCTTCAAAAGTCACATCATTATTCTCAGTATAAATGTGGGTGTCCTATGCAGGCTTCATATGTTTATGAAAACGGTAATCAACAAAAAGCATCCTGAGGACCAAGGAGCAGCAGAGACTCAAACCAAAGATCTGAAAGAATATTAAACATGGAAAAAGTATGTCATAACTTGAAACATACAAAGACATGGCTGTCCATTTCTACTGACAGGCCAGGCAAAGATATCATCCATCAGAAAAGCAGACAAGAAGCCCTTGGTACCTCCAAAGGAGTTTAGGGAATCCACAAGTTGTTCAGAAGATTCCATTAACAAGACACTCCACGTATCTGGTCTTTATGTAGAAGTAGCAAGAAGAAAAGTCTTTGAAGAAAGATAATCACAATAATTCTTGTTTGACATTTGCCATAAGCCATGTGAGAGACAGCAAACACATGGAAGAAGGTGCTGTGGTCAGCTGTACCCAACGCTGAATTTTGTGGACTATGTGCAAATATGTGTAGACAAAGATCTAAGCTGGTAAAGCCATTACCCCAAAGCCTAGGAGCAAAAACACAATTCTACAAAGTATTGACTAAGGGGGGCAGAATACACATGCATTCTATAGATAAGGGTAGGTTTAAAAAAAAAAAATCAACACTATATATCATTTTTCTTCCTTCAAGCTAAAGGTTATGTATAGTTTTGCAAGACACCGTTTCTCAAAAGGTATGAAGTAAATTGACATTTAAGAATAACTTTGGACATTCTAAACATACCAGTCATTCACTTGCACTATGATTATGTTACCAAGAATGTTCATGATAACAGAGCTAAATCTTCAGCTGGATTCAAACTCCATGAAAAGTGAACCTGGTACATGTATGAATGAGCATCCTGTGATAATGTTTTTACCTATGGTGCATTTTTCTTTGATAACGTTTTTATTGGACTGATAGTTGTAAGTAATTGTGTCATTTAAAAAAACAGCTCAAGCATGTCAAGCAAGCAAGTCCTGTTGCTGAGACCTCTTTGTCCTGATCTCTCAGACAACGGATGGCATATGCATATCAGTCAGAATGCATAATGTACTTAAGACTGCAGAACGTAAAATGCATAGCCACTTTGACAAAAAGAAGAAAGTAAACAACAGAAAACAAAAAAAAACTACATGTACTGTGACGGAAGGAACAAATCAAACAAAGACTCAAAGCCTTGTATTCCCCTTTAAAGGACGAGGTGATCAAAAAGTCCCACCTGCTAACCCCCCCCTTTCAGACATGGATCCAACCCTTACCTATTGCGGTGTAGAGGACCTGGTCACAACAACGCTGCCCAGATAGCTGAGATCAATCAAAAACAAAGCAGGTAAGACTCCAGGAGTCATTAAGAACCACCACCCTGCCCCTAATTCATAATGATGGAGACATTGCAGTACATGAGAAGCGGACAGGCCCTGTGACACACTTTGCCCAAAAACCTCTCCTTGGTAGTCAGACCTGGGGGTGACCTGGTAACACTTAAAAGTTTGGGGAAAAAGAGTGATAGAAAGGGGAAAGGAAGGTGGGTAGGAAAAATCTGAGAGGTTGGAAGGTAAGGTAGATTTGATCATGCAATCAAAGGCTGAGGATGGGCCGCAGGGCCTGCCAAGATGAACTCTTCTTAAAGCATCCTTCTGCTTAATAAAGGCACTTTGAAAGGCTTTGAACTAAGCATAATGATGGTGTTTCTTCTAGGACATTAATTAGATGAATAATATGGGGTTCCGCCTGTTAAGTGAAAGCAGGGTAATGCATGACACAGATGAAAAAACTAAGATCTTAAATGATGGCTGACTGTAAGGACTGTAGCTATTAAAGGTGTTAAATGAAATCTATGAATACAATGCATTCCAACTAATTATTTACTCGCATTAGTTTCAAGACTTTTTACATAGAGTAGAATTTTTTAAATTTACTTTTTGCATTTTCTAGCTGGTCAACTTGGAGACAGTCCCTCACAGATTTAGTGAGTGAATACCTCTAACTTGATGTCTGAGATGAAGAGCTGCATCAGCAGGACTCAAACTACAAGCTAACATCCCAGAATGCAAATCTATTGTTACAACAAATAGGTTGCTTTGAATCAGGTTGCTTTCATTTTCAAATTTTATATACAAAAAAAAAAAAAAAAAAATACCCAGCTATTAAACCAATGGTCCAATAGGTAGATATAGAACTTCAGTAGCCAAAATGTCAGAGCAACTTCCCACATCAAAGCATTATGGGCTAAGGCAGATGACACAAATGGCATCCCTCTCTGCATGCCTAACAGACCTACCCTGAAGCTGACAACTGGGGTGGAGAGGGCTCAGATGGAAGAATCTCCTCCTCAGTCCTCCTATGAGCTGGCATTTGCCCAAATATGCTGCTGCTTTCCACGGGGGGCGATGGGGACTGGGAAGCTGGGTAACTGGTTGCAGCAGTGGCAAAAGCCATGTGGGAACGGTAGCTGGGGCTTGTTCTCCTGCTACCCTGACCTTGAGCAGGTGATGAGGATGGGGATGATCTCCTTGAAAAGCTGGCTGTGGACGGTGGAAGCAGGGTAATCTCAGACATCCCTGGGGGTATGGGAGGCTGCACCATGCTTGGACGTGGGCGAGGGCGCACTACAATCTCTGGGGAGCCCTCTTGAGAGCTAAGGGGGCTTTGAGTAAGGGGTGAAAGTCGAGAGGGTTGAAGAACCACCTGATGCAAGCCAGAATCCATCCTACGAGTCTGTCTGGGACTAAAACGGGGGTTGGTTTGAAACCATCGTGTATCCAAATTACTGAATGTGCTGGGGACGATATGAGCCATTGGATCAGTATAAGACAAAACTGGCACACCCATACTATGGCCTGAAGGTCTGAGCTGCCCTAAATGTGCCTCTTGCATAGCTAAATGCCTGGCTGGGGAGCCATGAGGCCTGGCCTTGCTGGGAGACTTGCTTTTATGACTCTTTGATGTCCTGCGACTTGGGGCCTCAAGTGGCAAGACTGTTGGGTAGGTAGGCATTGGAAGAGAAGAGTGCTGGAAAGCACTAAGGGGAAGAACATGAGGTGGAGAGGCGTAGGGAGGATCATGGCGGGTATGCAGAGGGTGGGGTGGGGGGAATATAAATTGAGGCCCCTCCAAACTTGAAAAGGTAAAATCTAGTCCCTGCCAAATCTCTGGTGAATGAGAGGAAGAGGTCAGTGTCAGAGGGAGTGGGAAGCCGGACACAGCGTATTGTGGAAATTCACCCTCTCCGATTTCTTCAGGAATAATGTGGTGTGCAAAGGGACCCTCAGCAAAGTATGGAGGAGAGGACATGACCGACCTCAGTGGGCTGGTATCAGGCATGTAGAAAGGAGGTGGGGGATCGTGATCTCCAGGTGGTCCTAGATAGCCATAGAAAGCTCTATGGTGAAGAGAGCCTCGGATCTGTCCCGTGGCATGGAGCTGACTGCTCTCCATGATGGTCATACCTTCAAAAGGCCTGTGAAAACGAGGACTGTAGGCTGGAGGCTGGAGGTAAGATTCCTGACTGGAGATTGGGGAAATCTGATGAGGCCGAAGCGGTGCCATGACTGGTGGAAGAGGCCTGGGATCGTCATTCTCTTCGTCCGATTGTCGAAATTCTGGGTAAAGGTCTGATTCTTCCACAAAGGGAAAGCCCTCAATACGGCGGGGCTTGACTGACATTTCAGCATCAGTGGGATCGATGACAAATCGTCCATCTGGGCCTCGACTGATAAGTTCAATAGGTGTTGTTGGTTCAGCTTCGTGCTTGGACATGTACCTCTTGCTTGTTATTGCTCTTTTGGTCTTCTTGTATAAGGATAACTCTTCTTTCCTTCCTGGACTGGGAGGAGGTTTCCTTCCACGCTGGTCATGACTCTCTTCGGACGATTCTGATGGAGATGCCTTTGAACGTATGCTCTCCGGACTCACCTTTCCTGAAGATGACCTGTCAAAAATAAATTAGTAAATATAAGAACATTTATTGAGTCAGAATTTTCTGACTCAAATGGTGATGAAGACGTTTTCACCTGCATTGAAAATAAGCTTATGGCATCATTAAACTTTTAGGAAAACAGAAATGTCATTTCTGAATAATGGGTTGGAGCTTAAAACAGCAATAGCGTAGGTCAGAAACAAATACCCAACAAAATATGCTGCATTTTAGTTAATTCCAAAGTTCTTATCAGCGGTTGGGGGTTTTTAATAGCTTCTCTTGCAGGTAGGGTGGTGCACTGAAGGAAGGGCTATTATACAATTACAACACATTTAGGAACATCATGCTGAACTTCATTACAATTATTTAAGAACAAGTGGTGGACAACAACAAACTGGATTTAATTGAGTCACCAAGACCCTACATTTCCCAACAGTTTTGAAACAATAGACGGTTTTTAGAATAATAAGACTGGCAAATTTAAATTAATTCAACGGCAAGATATAAGTGAGGAAATTTCTCTTTATTTAACAGTATCTTCATATTTTATATAAAGCATTACAACCCCACCCTCATAATAATAAAAAAAAAAAAAGATTTGGTCAGCTGGTGCAATACGTAAACAAGTAAGTAACGCACCAACATTTAGTGTTTCCCTGACACTAAATGTTGGTCTCAGGTAGGAAAACAATTTGCTAAACAGACAGAAGAGCATAGAAAAACACCCAGAACCAGATATAAATGTCAAAACTAAGAAAATATCATAAATTTCAAATATTTATGGTTTTGTTTTGAATACTACTGGATGCAGCAACAAGTTACTGTGGCTGTCATCACCAATATTGTACCAACTTGGTTTTGGGAAACTAGCACCTGATTACAAACTCAGACAGATGAATACATCCTGCTATCGCAAAAGCTTCTTTCTGAAAAATTGTGGCTGAACTTTTTCTTCTTATTATTTTTGTGAGGGCAGTTTTCTGTATAACATAAGTAAGAAGGAAACTTTAATTTTCTGATCATTTTCTCTTCTTGTGGTGCTGAACATGCAAGCAATGACTCCACTACAAAAGGTCAAAATTAGGATATGAAGTCTGCATGCACCACAATATTGACAATATTTTAACTATACTACACAATCAGTGTGCAACACAAATCTAAACTCTTGTGTGTATATTTCTAGGTGTTTATCAGAAAATGAAGGACATCAAAATCATAATTTGCTGCTTACTATGCTGTAGAACCATCACTAATATAACAGTTTACAAAAACCACTGAAAGAACTTGACTGCTTTGAAAGTGAACGAAAAAAACAAAACAGCCACATGTATCAATATTTGGAATGAATGAAAAAAACACGGTGAGGGTTTTCAACAAAAAGTGTTTCACAAAAGGACTTAAGTGGATTTTTCCAAACTGCTTAAAGCACTGCAATGAAAAAAGGAATTAACATAACACATACACACTTACATATATTTTATTTTTTTATTTTTTATGCATTTGATTATTGCTAGTGTTTTGTGAAAATGTCAACTTTAACATCTTCCCATTTGTGAAGAGTTGGAGGGACATAATTAACATTAGAAATCAGTGTCTATTCAACAGAAAACACAATGATTTGCTCAGTGTAATAGTGTTGTTCCATATACATCTCTATTACATCTATATAAGCTTTGCCAACCTTTTTATTTGTCTTTTTAAAACTGAAATATGCAGTTTTTCAGCTGACAGAGTCCCAAAACAAGAACATTGAAGGCTGGAGCTATATCAACCCGAGCCACTTTTATTTATGATTTCAAGATAAACTTATAGCATTTATCTTTCAAGCAAAATGTCACCTTGTTGATAGCAAACAACATTTTATTTTTTTTGTCTATTTAATTAAAACTTCCTTTCCATTATGCTTCTGATCTCAACAGCAAGGATATAAGGCAAATGGACATTTCCTACTACATTTGCATCTTTGTTTCATTTTTTGAAGGTAAAACAAAACACACATTGCTTAAAGATATTTATTTGTCCATGTATTTGGACATGGACACATAAAGAGGTAAAAAGAAACACAATATTCCCAGGATCACTACTGTTTTTCATGATATAAACCACAACTGCATCTGCCTCACATTGTCCTGATCACATTTCCACTAAGTTTTCAACAAACTAAAGATGTGCTGACTTAACGAAGGGGATTAAGCTACAATTATATTTAACCCAACACTACTTTAGCCATGCTCTTAATGTTTCTTTTTTGAGTTTTAACGTTGTTCATGTTGACACTCTCTCATTTAGTTTACCACGATTCGGCTTCTTAATGTGAACCACAAAAAATAATAAAAACCTTGCAGTTGGAAATAGTTGAGGATTTCAGATGCTTGACCTCAGGTTCTAACTACTTTCTGAGCTGAACACAGCTAGACACACACAAACCTGAGCCTCCTTCTAATGTCATTATTTGCCTTCGACTCAACGATTCTGGGCACAAATCACCTTTATTAAATACAGAATATTACCTTTTTCCTCAGTGCAGTCTTTACTGTTAAAGCACCATGAACAGATTGACTTCACCGCGGTCATGTCAATGGACCTCCAGCATGTTCACCACAGATCACTAAACTTTTGACTTGGCATTGCAGTATGCTGAGAAAAACTTCAGCAGCTCTCAACAATCAAGAAACAGCCAGAAATTGAGAACGAGAATGAACTGCACAGTGATGGTTATTGTGTCACTACCATGTAAAAGGAAGAAGTCCAAAATGCTGTCTGAAACCATCTCAGAACTTAAGATCGTGACCAGTGTTGTTGTTGCCTGGTTGGGACGTTTAGCCGGAAGCATGCAGACAGAGCTTTGAGGATCGAAGTGCAAATGGGAGAATATAGTGTGCAAGACCAGGGGGACAACAGTTGGGCACACTCACTGAGGACTGGAAGATTGTGGCTTGTACTGGGCAGTCAACCCTTCCCAGTAGGACTCAAGGCTGGGAAAGAAACTAAGTGGACTCCTGTAAAGGTGGGGAGATTAGACAGTAAAAAGCACAGAAGACATGGGCACTAAATGGTGGCATGAATAAAGAAGAAAGGGAAGAAGAAAAAGTTTTAATTAAGGTGGAAAGAGAAAACCTGATTAAAGTGCAGCGTGTGTAAGAAGCATAATAAAACTGATTGGAGAAGAAGAATTTCTTCAACAACCACACTGACTTTTATGAAGCAATGACAAAAATCCTCTTTTAAAGACTTTTCCAACATAAGAATTCAAAACTACAAAACATTTATTGAGAACAAAGAGAACAACATAAAATGTGTTTCATGTTGATTTGAAGTGTGACTGAAAGCTCTTCAACCAGCAGATGCTTGAAGAAATCAGCAGAGTGGTTTCTGTAACACTTTACACTTCAACTACAAGAGCTCAAAACTTCACAAGTAACTTTAATGAAAACACGTTTATTTAGGAAACAAAATGTCTTAACTATTATGCTATGTCATTTGTATGCAGATTTTAACAGCCAAGGGTTCCGGGTTGGTGATTTTGGTTTGGAAATGTTCAGTGTTGTATAGTAACAAAGTAAAAATACTTCACTACTTCACTTAAGTATATTTTGGAGTACTTCAGACATTCCTCGAGTATGAAAATTTTTGATAACTTTCACTTTTACTTCACTATATTTCCGAACTTAATTGCATAGTTTTACTCCGATACATTTTCAATGTGTGGCTTAGTTACTCGTTACTGTGACGGAGGAGCCGTCACGAGTTAGGACCTAATTGAAGAGTCGCGTTAACACACACAAACACACACAATCGCTAACTTACGTTTTGTTACAGCTTAAACTGACGCGGTTCATCGTGGGTCACACGCGGTGTTCCCGCTTCAGTTCAGATTAGTCCTTATCTGTCATTTTCAAACGTTTTCCCGGCTTTATTTTCAATTGGCTTGTTTCCGGATTGTGGCGCACCGGGAGAAAGTTGCGTGATGTGGTGACGTCATCAGAACGTACTGAGTGTTGGCTGTTAAATTGATTATTGTATTTTTGGATTACAAGTTTATTTATTAGCTCAGTAAGACACAACCAGTCGGAGCCAGGAGGAGGGTCTTAGTGCTCTCAATCATGCTCGTGTATACAGAGTCTTCCATGAATGCTCAAGCTCGTTAGCCACTGATGGTGGCGGTCAAAAGGTTTTCCTGAAATGGTAAGATGTTTGTCTGCCATCAGCACATACAGCAGCATGTGCATGAGAATGATTGACAGCTCTTAAGACCTTCCTTCTGGCTCTGATTGGTTTGTTTTTGACTGAGAGGAGAACATTTCTGCAGATTATAATAGTAGCATTGGGAGGACATGGAAGAAGATGATTTTTTCAAAGATAAAAAAAATTCATACTGTCAAAACATGGTAACAGTTTTAACAAATATGTAAAAAATATTTCTTATAAAAGTTACATACTCCACCTTTAAAGAGTCACTTTATAGATGTTTTCTACTGAGGCATATTGTCATCCCAGTGCAGCTTTTAACATAAAAAAAATCCTTGATTTAGGCTATTTCTGCTAGCTGTTTCAGTTATCGCAAACTACTAAGCAATTAGATACTAATTACACTGTTCATAGAAAGCATCTGTCTATTAACTCTGCTGCTTGATGGGAGCCTCTTCCAGTCAGCTGTTGGTCACAGTGTTCAGTCTACATTACTGATGCGGATAACAGCGCTGCAGATTGACCTCTCCGAGCATTGTGAGGGAAACATTTGAGTGTTCATCTCTGAATTTATTGCCACTTGATTATCTTGACCAAGTAACAGAGTGGTCTAACGCAAATGTTTAGAGCTTGAAGTGAAGATCTATTCCTGTTGAAGAAAAAGTTGTTTGAAAGCAGTTGTGTTTTCAGTAACTTAACCCTTGCGCCCATGAGAGTGCTGACGAGTCTGGCTATTACTCAACAGAAAAACCTCAGCAAATGTAAGAAATCCTCATTCACGTTCCTCAGATTATAATAGTATCATTGGGTGTTTGTAGGAGTGCATTGGGGTTGTGGGAGGAATACTTACGGTGTTTCCATGCTTTTTCTGAGGTGGGTTATGGACAGAGGGGGATCTGGAGAGTGGAAGGAAGATACATTCATTACAGTTACAGTAAGAGGAGAACAGAAAACAACAAAAAAAGATAAACCTAATAATTATCCAGCGTGACGTGAAAGCCTTCCACAAAGTCTATACCGTACTTTACTGACATGAACGCTCTCTCACATATCACTTTTTATAAAAGAGGACACATTTTTAGTGAATGAAAGGTGTAATCAAATAGTTGATTAAATGACATGTAGCCCAGTTGTACTGCAGGATTTTTCCAAATTAAACTGATCCAATTTTCAGGAAGTCCAGAATTCCCTTCAGTGCCTTTGTGAGGTGATGTCTGATTGTGATAGACCAACACAAAGTCTGAATAGGTTCTGACATTTTCACACATTTTGTTGACTTCAGAATGTAAAGTCAACAAAATGAATGAACATCATAGCAACAGTTCATGCCATGAATACCTTCATTCAGTCTTTTTCCTCTCATTTATGTTTCTGGATATTTTCGTTATCTGTTGCACATTACTAGATACAAATCAATTTTTTATTTAATAAGTGTAATAAGAGCAGCAGAAATGAGTCAGAGACGACGTGGAAAAAAACTAGTGCAGGATAATATGACATAAGGGGATTTTTCTGACTTAGAAATTGTGGGAAGAAGACAGCATCTTCCCCTGACCTTTTTTCTTCTTGAGCTTCTTCCGGCGCTGCTTGTTGACAAAGCAGGCAGCCATTGTACTGAAGAGGACAGCTGCAGCCAGGAAGCAGATGGTGGCCACGATGCCAGCCACCACCGGCCGCGTCAGTCCACGCTCCTCCACCATCTCTGGAGGGGGGAAGAAATCTGCCAGGCGACAACCCAAATGCAGAAAACGTCAACATCAACAGCAAACTCCGAGCATGGAGGAGATAAAAGAAGTTGTTGGCAAAGTTGTGGTGGCCTGTAGCAAGAATGGAAAGTGATGATTAACACAGGAGATTATTATCAGCACATTTGTAAATGTTTCATTACTACGCGTTGTGACTTTGCTAGTAATGAACGCTGAAGTACAGAAGCTTTTCCTCACTCCTGGTTCGGGGCTGATATTTGCTTTGAGATTGCTGTCCAAATGTGAGAACGGAGGAAGAGAACACAGTGTCCCCTGAGAGAACACCCAGTGCTCTGAATAACCAGGAGAGATGATTAAAGTGATTCTGAACTTCCTGTCTCCACATTAATCTGCTACTTTTTGGAAGGTAAAAAAAGAAAGACTTCAACACTTTTCATTCTCAAAAACTTTGAGGTTTTGGTGCAAAACATTTGAGCTTTCTTCTGACCAACGTTGAAAACACGTCGTGCTTGTCAGTCTTTTTCCAACTGACCTCTCAGTTTGGTCAGGTTACTTGAAAATAGTAATTAGTTACTAATTACTGGTTATTTCCTCAAGACAGTAATCCGGTTTGCTTTACGGATGACTTATTTTCAAAAGTTATTGATTACTAAGTACTCTAGTTACTTTTCAAAGAATGATGTCTAATCTGAATACAGAGGAATGTATCTGATTTTGTTCCTTCTGCATATTTCTTCATCTAAAACTTAATCAATTGAAACTGTCTCTTTCTAAAACTTTAAAATTGAATGAAATGGAACAGTCTCTGCTTTTGTCGAATACCTTCACTAGCAGAACTTGAATATATGTATCTGCATTAATTGTCTTTTTTTTTTTTCTCATGTTTTACTCTGGTAGTCAAGCAACAACGTTTTGTTGCCAAGTTCGCTGTCATGTCTAAGTCTATTTTAACCGACTTTCAGCACTTTCCACTGTATTTTTAGACAACAAAGTCTCTACTGTTAAATTGCGTTTCCTCCTGTCCACAGTATAAAAACAACAATTATTGTTTTTTTTTCTGTTTACAGAGCTGCTTTTGTTATGGACATGTTTAATAGACCTTGGGATGCCCAGATCAAAGGTTGAAAGTGTTTTTGGTTCTCCGTCTTTATTCTCGATGATTCTCAACTTGTTTTACGCCTGCAATACTACTTGATGCGATTTTCAATGAACTCCTCTCGTCCCGTCCTTTATTTGTTGGTGTGATCTGTTTGTTAGTGATGTCAGTTTATTGAATGCGTGATCCAAGACTACTGAAGCTCAGCAGAGAAATCTGGGCGCTCTTGGGAAGAAACAGGTGGATGAGAAGGCTAGAAAAATGATGATCCAATCAGGATGGAGCAGAAGCCTCCCTCGCTGTGGATTTCCTCTTTATGCCTGCAGGCTTAAACCATTAAAAGCTCACAATAAGAATTCCTCACTATCCAAGATCCCTCATTCCAAACACTGTGAATAGTTCTAAGTTGTGTTTGCAATATTTTGATCTCTGGTTTAGCTTGATGTTGTAACACGCTGAATCGGCAAAAACATCCCAGGTCACTGCTAAATACAAGCCGGGCGGGACAAATTGTTGGCATCTGTAAAAAACAACAAAGAATGTTCGGCAGGTTTTGGTCACGACTACTTCAAAGCTCCCCACTGCAACCAGTAGAGGGCAGCAGAGGCCTAATATGACAGCGACAACAGTCTGTATTAGCTGCCAACAGCTGTTTTACCAAACGATGTGTACTCAGTGACCTCTGCAGGGGCGCCGCATCACGTTCTGAGGCTTGATTTCAAAAAGCAAACAGATATCAGTGGTGCAGCTAAAAATAGGCTGATTTCTAATTATTTCTCTTTTGAGCACAAAGAGCCAAAGAGTCAGTGGATGCTGGGTAAATTGATGATGTCATGCTTATCAGAATGCTACGAAAGAGTGTGCATGTCAGTGGAGTCTTCATTAAATAGCGCTGATAGAGCAAAATGCTAAGTTAAAGGTGCCGTGTGTGCAATGCATAAGTAGCAACAATCTCTGTCTGAGTGATGCAAGGATGGCCTGATGTTGCACAGACGAGGCACGGGGATGAACGGGAAGTATTGTGATACAGAATCCTTCAACTATCCTGTTGCCTTGGAGAGTACAGAAATATCCACGGAAAGTTCCCGCAAGCTCCGTCTTGTGAGAACTTACCTGTGCTGGACACTCCCACCACGTTACTGGGCTCGCTCACCATGTCGTCCATGACGGCCATGACGCGAAACTCGTACCAGGCCTCCTGGGAGGAGCAGAACAAAGGAGCCGTCAGGATTTTAAAATAAGCAGAACGCATCAGACTAAAGGCTTCAAACTGCCTCAGAGCTAAAAATAATATGTTTTCCCCCCACTATTCCAGCCACCTGATAAGACTCTGAGGAAGCTCATTCTGCAAGAGACAATGACGTTATGCGCACCCCTCCCCCATCAAAAACGCCAAAAGTCCTTTTACCATCCAGGTAAATATGATCTATTTGCCAATTCGGAGCACAATAAGCAGCATAAAACAGAATCAGATAAGTTATCAAGAATCTATAACACAAGTGTGAAAACACACTTGATAGATGAATAGAAAACAAATGCTGACAAAAAGATTGAACAGATAAAGTGTGATAACATAAACATCAATTTAACAGGAGTTCAGCCTTTGAGGCAGAAAGTCTGAGGGAAACATTTCAATAAGTTCATGAGTAGGGAGAGAGTAGTCTGTGAAATGTTCAGAGGCATCGGTCCATATATATATGTATATATATGTGTGTGTGTGTGTGTCCGTGTGCGTGCGCGTGTGTGTGTTGCTGGACTGTGCCGGCAAAAGCCGCGAGTGAAGGTCAGCAGGAATAAAAAATGTCTCCTATATGCGTCATGCAGAAGTGTCGGGACTTGGCGGAAGCCGATATGGGTTGTGTCAGGGTTTTCATCAGCAGCCATCCTATTCAGTTTCCCAGCATGTGTTGCATATAGATATCACAGTGCCAGGCATCCAGAAATGACAGTCACGCAAATCCATAATATGACCATAAGCAGACTCCATCATGTGCTGGTACTGCGGTCCAAAGCATATCTGCTGACCTTCACTCACTGTTTTGATTGGCTGCCCAATACCCCAGCAACAGTCTAATAACACTACAATAGTGATGCCACAATGGAAATCCCATCGAGGGCCTTTGATGACATTTTTTTCTTTTTTTTTTACGCAGCCATCACCGGTCTGGTTGTGCACCAAGTCACATGTATCATTGCGTTTCTTCTGGCAGCTTCAGTCTTTTCGTCAGAGTCTTAAGTTTGCACCAAAATGACAGGAGTTAAAAAAATGGAGTTTCTTCGTCACGTCATTCCCACGTAAAGCACCTGGAAATGAAGCGGTGCTGATGACACACAGGAGGAGAAAACAGGCTGAAATTAAAGGAGCAGACGAACCACACGTCTACATTACAGACATGGAAGTACAGAACATATTAAATCCTTTTCGACTCGATGATCTCAGGTCGTCCTGTTTACTACTTGCTTCAAGACACTTTGCAATGCAGCTGGCTTCACACTGAGCTGTCGGCAGAGATGACCGGGATGAACAGATTGAGCAATGTGATCAGCGCAAACATTCACTCTCACACATACGCAACGACGGAGAACAGCAGACTGAACAAACCTCGTGGTTTGAATGCTCTAACCACAGAGGAAGAAATCCGCAGCAGCGAAGTTACACAACCCAGGTGTAATGTGTGTGTTTGAGTGAGGCAACAAGAGAGATGAAGTGTGTGTGGGTGTCTGCGGGAAGAGCAAGGAGAAATAAAAGCACTTTTGTGGACCTGAAAGTGGCAGTTATATCAAAGAAAGATGCTCCAACATGTTGCAGCGGCGCTGGGCTCCAAGAAAACGACCGTTTACTCAGAATTCATCAGTTTTACGCTCAGGATTTTTCTTTCTTCGCCTTTCCTCAACTTTAGCGTTCTGTTAAAATGCACCTATCGGTTTCATGTTTTAGCGTTACGTACTCCTGAGATCAACTCTATAGAGTCCCTGCACGTTTTACGTCGATCCAGATGTAAACCGTAACACAGAAGCCCACCGAGTCAGCCTAATCAGCTTGTGCACACCTGCCCTGTTACTATGACAACTGTGCCAAACGTGACAGCATATTACTGCACCGAACGCGGTAGTGTTAATGAAACCGTTTTATTTGTGGTGAGCTGAAACGCGAGGCTAATTAGTGATCGTCGTATGGGCCCCCACATCACACCTTCGACTTCTAGACGCAGTCACAAAACACACTGCATCCCTTCAAAAAGTTTGCAAATATTTGCCAGTAATTAATGAAAAACCTTTATTAGCTTACAGAGTTTAATGTGTGACATCAAATTATGCACAAAATGATTGGCTCAAATCAATCTCTCATACTAATTAGCAGACTGGTTGCTAAAACAGAGGGACAGATGTGTTTAAAAGTCTTGTCATTCAGACACGATGTCTTTGTGTCATAAGGTTCTGACTTGTAAGCAAACTGCTGCTAAAAATATCACGGCTCAAAGCACAGTTTTCTGGATCACAGAGAGCTTTAGGGTGAGAAGCTCAGCTGCAGTGATCACGATCCAAACGTGTGCACGGAGTACCAGGATCTCTACTTACGGAATGTGTTTGAGAATCAAGCAGATTTTGCTTAACATCAGCAGCGAGTAGTCGCGAGAGCTTCTGCACAAAAAGGCACATTAATGCATTTACATCACTGTGCCGTCGTTTTGACAAGAAAGGCGACAAAAACGGCCTTTACTGAAGGAAAAATCATAAAAGACCAACTGAAATTTTTCAGGAAGGACAAGGATCGACATGAGAGGACGGCCACAAAGTTATGTTCTCTGAGGAATCACAAAAGGTGTGTTTTATAGCACAATAGAGTAAATTAAGTCATTATAAAAATGTGATTTCACAAATTAAAGCCTTGAAATTGGGCCTCTGTCTCTTTAAGAAACTGATACTTTTCACACAACAGAACCAAAGGTTCCTTACAATTGAGCCAAAAAACATCAACAAAGATCTACGTTTTTCGAGCAACATTGCATAAGGCAAAAGTTACAAAAAGGCGACTCAAAGATCTATGAGCAAGAAAAGTCATAGGACCTCAATCTCATTGACTAAATGAGATTGAGGTCCTTGCCGTCCTTCACAAAAGGACGGCAAAGAAGCACAACCCCAACAAACCCTGATCGCCTCTAAGCACTGGAAAGACAACGTCGTGTCACCACCAGTCAGGATTTGGCAGAGCGGCAGGGATGTGTCCTACCTGGATCAGGTCTCGAGCGAGCAGCTCCAACTCTCCTGCAGGAATGCTGTCATCCAAGATCTCCCATCGTTCCCCCAGTCGGAACTCCATTACATAATGCTGGATAGGTGCTGTGTGATTGGCAGGTGGGATCCAGGTGAGCAGGACTCCCTGCTGCGTGCGATTGGCTGTGAGGCACCGTGGTGGGGTAAGCAGCACCAATGGTTCAGGGGTACTTGTAGGAAATACTGAAAGAGCATATCAGCATCAGTGATCTAGTTACATGGTTTAAGATTGAAGATTTTTCTTGAGGAAATCCTGTTTTCTTACAATTATCAACATTTCACGACAAAACGCTTGCACGGTCGTCCACAAATAATAAAGCACGAGAAGGTTTCAGCCGTGTGCAGTTCACTGCTTTGAACGTTTTCACCACAAACTTTTTTTTTTTTTTTTTTTGGGGATTTCCACGTGTTAGACCAACACAAAGCTGTGCATAACAGTGAAGTTGAAGAAAAATGACACAGGTTTTTGCCAAGAGGCTGATGATAGCTCTGGAGGAGCTGCAGAGATTCATATCTCTAGTGACAGCATCTGTAGTCATATGCTCCAGAAACCTAGCTTTTACAAAGGAGTGGAAAAAATGCAAGAAATTGCTATAAGAAATTCACAAGTGATCTTTTTGTGGAAGCAGGTGCTCCAGGCAGAGAAGCTGTGGGAATGTACATCATATTTTAAATATATATTTTTTTAACATGGGAAAACCAAGTATTATTTTCCTTTCATATCACAGTATTACACTTCTTCATCTTGGTCTAGTACAAAAATCCCAATTAAATTGACTGTAGTTCCTAAGATTAGCATAACACAGGAGAAGTTCAAGGGGTGTGAAAACTTTTGCAAGGTTCAAGAATGTCCTACACAACGCGTGTGATCTTCAAGGTGCAACTGCAGTACTTTTACCATATGAAATTTTTTTAAATGACAATATTGCATTTGAACAAAACCGAGTGCTTAGAATCACAGCTCCACTTCAAAATCCTGCAATAGAAATTGTCTTAAGGCCAAAAAACGCTCCAGAGCCAAAATCCTGATTGTCAGCATATCTACCAGTTCCACTGGTTCCTTCTCGAGTAGAACCAAGGAATATGACATCTGTTGATTTGTTTTCTTTCTTTTTCATTTGGAGTTGAAGGATGGAATGCTTTTAAGTGAGAGAGAAAGAAACAGAGAGAAAGAGAGAGAAAGCAGGAGCAACCCAGCAGCAGAAAGCTTTGACCTCTGGGTTTCTCCTCCTTGGCTCACACATAAAGTGGCGCAGCGCGGTTAGTTATCTATATTTTCAGCATGTCACTCATCTTTGCATAATAATCTGTGACAGCTTCATTTGCACTTAGATTGAGCACCATTAACAACCCTCTCCTCAGAGCTGAAATAACCAAACTAAACCCATACCAGTCACTCTCACTGCTGTTTAAACAAGAGGACACCTTCATTAAATAAGAACAATCACTTTTAAGATGTGAAAAAAGCCATTGCAATTATGTCTTTAGATTTAAGCAATAGAAATCCTAAAACAGTCTTTGTAAAACAAATGAAATAAAAACATTTTTAAATATCCTTTGACTGGGAACAAGATGCTTTACTATGAAGAGCTGAGTATAAAATATCTGTTCTCTCATCCTCAAGCTTTAACCCTTTAAAGCTTTAATTCAATTTAAAAATATTTTGTTTCAGAGGGAAAATTTAATGTTGTCATGATTCATATCATCCATGTGTCTTCAGTCATGGTGGATGATGATGCTGCGGGCAGGAAGGATCTCCAGTAGCAGTCAGGCTTGCAACACATCTGACGGCCTCTTACTAAAGACATTGTTTCTGTATCATATTCCTGCCACACACAGTAATATTAGCACCATAAAATGCTAACAGCTCAATATTCAGGTAGCGGAGATGATACTCCTGCTAATCCGACTCATTTGCTTTTGCAGCTGCTCTGAAAATCTCGATCAGCAACACAGACCTGAGCAGCACCGAAGTAAGCAAATTAAGTTTATTTATAAAGTGCCTTTCACAGACAGAAATGTGTTCTGAGCAACCTTACAGAAGCAGCACTCACTAATATTCATGGACATAGACGTGTACTGTGACTTAACATGTCAATGAAACAAAACATCGGTGGTTTACTTGCTTTTGTATTCACCCAGCCTCTAAAGTCACATTAATTTTGGTTTTCTTCCCAGTGAGTGACTGTTGTACTCACCTAGAGTGTTCACAGTGACGACCTCGCTGAAGGGGCCAGTGCCAAGCTTATTTTGGGCCAGGACACTAAACTGGTACGTCGTCTCTGGCTCCAAGCCCGGCACCACCATCCAGTCCTGGCCTCCAGGTACTGGTATGGAAACCCAGTCGTGTGGACCTAAGCGCTCCCTCTTCAGCCTGAGCAGAAGTGAAATGTGAATGGACAAACAGGAAGACATGGCATTGGGGGGGAGGACAGTAAAATAATGTAACTGTGTTATCAACTTCCAAAGCAGCTAGCTTGGTCAATGCCTCCAGGAAATAGCCAACCTGACAACCGTTTATCTTGCATGAGGAACATGGTCGGTGCGATGTGCCTCCCTGGTAACCTGTGTGTAACACACCATGTCTGCCTCTTTGATTCAATACAGCTCGACCAGTTTCACACAAGAAGCAGCAAGGCTTGTTTATGCTGCGATTCAGTTCCAAACTGCAGACTGCGGGGCTTAGCTTCAGCTAACAGTTGCAGAGGCAGTTAGCTGCATCGGAAGATTCTTTCTTTCTGCACCGATTCACTAAATAAAATGTATTCAAAATGTATTTTAATACATTTTATTCTTTATTCAGAACATGGTAGCCAGTTAATAGTATCAACATCATGCTGCGTTTAGCTTTGCATTTTGCCATTTGGCCATGCCTTCTCCATCACCAACTGAAGCACACAACTACACACATGCAATAACTTTGCAACTGTATCCACTGCACTTATTTACTGTGAAGACATACAGGGTTGTATAAATGTCTACAATGACAGGAGCTAAACATATACAAACCACTTGGAGTACAATTTTAAAAGGTTATAAATGTGATAATGTTTTCAGTGCATTCAATAGGGTACCTTGAAAAAGTATTCATAACTTCTTAATTTCAAAATATTTCATTGGGATGTGATTGTGATAGACCAACACAAAGTAGTAAATAAATGTAAGGTAAAAGGAAACTAAAATGTTGTATTTTATTATCATTATTTTTACAAATTAAAATCAGAGGCATACATTAACATTCAGTCCCATTTTCTCCGATTTGTCTAAGTGCAATCCGAAGCCCCCTGCTCACTCTCACAAAAAATTATGCATAAGTATCGACTTTAAGGCAAAATGAAAGCCAATGTTTATAGGAAACCGAAAGAGAAAAACAGTGACACGCCACATCCCTCTCAGCACACCGACCCCAGTGGTGACAGCATTATGCTGTACTTTAACAGGGACAGGAAAGCAGGTCAAAGTTCATGAAAAAGTTAATGGAAGTAAATACGTCAAGAAATCTTGTTAGAGATCAAAAGTCTGGAGGCTGTGTAGAGGTACACCGTCCGGCATCACATCCATCCTACGAATCCAGAGTTACAGAGTTTAGAGTTTAAAAAAAAGATTTATGTCTTGGAATGGCCCAGTCAAAGTCTTTGGAAAGACAGTAATTGAGGTCTCACTCTACTCAGGCTGACTGAGCTTGATGAGTCATGAAAGACGAGCCTTTCATACTCAACATGTGCAGGTCTGGTATATATTACATGCCACAAAGCGTTCACTCTAGGAAACTCTTTATAATAAAACACTATTTTGTGTTGATCTGATGCTTAAATTCCCAATGAAATATATGTAAATATTTATTTGGTGAAAAAGCAGCCCCTTGTAAGTTTCACTCTTTTTATTGCCTTTACAAATCAACAGTGATCAACACAATTCGGCCGTTTTGCCAAAAAAAAAAAACAACTTTAATATGAAATTGAAAACTGATTTGAACAAAATAATCACTATTCAATAAAAAAAACCTAACATAAAATAGGTGAGTGTATCAATATTCATTGCCTTGAGTACTGTACTGTTTGATGTATCAAAAACGAAACATTCAAGGGGTCTGAATACTTTACCGAGTCACTGCACATCTATTGTTAAGCGGTGTGACAAAGTCAGCTGTGCAGGAATCCATCCGCGGCGTTTCGAAGGCTCTTCTAAATGACAGCAGGGCTGCAGTGACGCCGGCCATTCGAGAGCTGATCACACAGGTTCGCTGTCAGTATAAATATCTTTAATTAAAGCCGCCGTCTGCTTGTTTTCCTATTCGTTCTGCTCTCTGGTTACTTCACTTTATTAATAAAACATGATGGGTGACAGTGATCAGAATAAAATTAGGATTTGACTGATTTTTTTTATAGCGCGTCTGAATCAGGAATCGTCACCTCTGTCACCTTGTGCTTTAAATATATTCCCTTTTTACACAATTCAGACTTGATTATCGTGCACTGTAGTTTACCATCACTGCTCAGGACTTCTTTATTTTTTTAACACCACATAATTATAGCTACACATATTGTGTTACAATGTTGATAGCCTGAATCAGGGACGTGAAACTCATTTTTGTTTTGGGCCAAATCAAGATCAAGAATGCTCTTAAAGGGCCAGTTGTGCCAGAATGTATTGATAAAACCTGCTCTCAAACTGTTAAAATATTAATGAATCTAATCTAATCTATTCAAGTTCACATACGATGAGAGATTTTTAAAAGAGGATTATGTCAAAATTCTGCTCGTTTTTGTTTAAATCAAATACATTTGGACTTATAAATCATCTTGCTCCGTAGACTGTAACGCTTTGCTCAGATTCTTATCATATCACACAATGTTTTCATTGTATTAAGTATTAGCTACAGCAAGCATTTCAACTGAGGCCCAGTCAAGCAGAGCGATGCAGCGGCAGCAGCAGGATAGAGTTGGGTCATGTTCAGTTAGGTTGCAATCATCTTTTTCTTGTGTTGTTTTGTCTTTAAAAACTCACTGAAACTGGACTTTCTTGCACTTTCCCCATTTCACAACAGCATTTTACAACTGCTCTGAACGTAACCCTAGAAAAGACATATCCAGCAACAAAATAAGGACATGATGAAGGAAGAAAAAGCAGGAAGCAAAGCATGCTGGGATGACTCACACATGGCCATACCAGACTGAGTATGTCTGCTGGAAGCCTCCGTTGTAGCTGGGCTCCCAGGACACGTTGGCCCAGAAGGAGGAGGTTGCGACGCGGACGCCGGTGGGGGCGTGGGGGCTTGTGCCTACGGAAACAGGGGGAAGTTAGTCGCTGAGTGTCGCTGTTATGGAGATGTCATTCAGTTTACCTGCCGGACAAATTAACTGTGAGCCAGGGAGGTTAAGATAAGCAACTGTGGCTGTCAATTAATTTGGCCAGGGTTAAGAGGCCATTTGCAAACAGCAACGACCAACAAAGCCATACAGAAGGAAACTACTACAACTTATTCTTGCTAGAAGTGGCTGTGTACAGATTATTCAATCACAGTGCAGTTAGTTTATATGTACCTATGACTTGGACATGCGTGCTGGCAGTGATGCTTGTGGCAACGTTGGTGGCGACACACTCCCACTCCCCGTGGTCATCCTTTGTGAGCGACTTCAGCTGTAAGCTACCCCGAGGCAGAACATTGTGCTTGCTTTTACTGGGCTTCCCTACCTGCAGTCCGCCCCGCCCGAGGAAATAAGCAGACACAATGAACAAGAGGCAAATGCAGTCCAAAGTCTCAAACACTGAACGAAGAAGGACAACGTTGTTAAGAGGCTTAGTTGATCCAGTCTGAGGGGAGATCGCAACACTTAGCACTAAAATACTGCATGTGACACAGCATAAGATTAACAAGAACGTGAAGAATCCGGAACTACAACAAGGTGTGAGGGTGGTACCTTCCTCCATGTGATATTCGGAAAAGGATCTCCCTCTGCTTCACATGGGATGACAAGTTCCCTCCCAGCCTCCTGCCTGTACTCCCCTCCAGGAACCACAGAGAATTTTGGAGGGTCCTGTGCATTGGCGAGAGCCGAAATGTGTAAGGGAAACGCTGAGTGTGCCTCAGGTTTATTTAAGGACTCCCGTTACAAATCTGCATTGGTATCGGAAGTGAAAGAAGAGGATCATTGCACCCCTATGAAGAACAAACTGTGATAATCATGTTCACCCGTTCCATCTGTTCTTTTTACAATTTACATGATCACCAGTCAATGGAATTACAGAAGGCAGAATTTCTCTATACGCAGCCGTTTTCTTCTTTAGTTCTAGGCAGAGGTGAAGTAAAAACATCAATAGAGGTTTGACTATAATTTAAAGCATATCCACTGCTGGTGCGTAATCACTGTGAGAAAAGGCTAAACGGTTTATGTGAAGTCCAGATCAGCCGTTGTGCAGCAGAAGCGTGTTTACCTTTAGCACCAGGGGAGCAGGAGGAGACCATCCCATGGATCCCAGGGCATTGTAAGGCATGCAGGTGTAGGTGCCAAGAGAATCCTCTGTCACCTCTGCAACACGGATGCTCCCATCGTCCATCTGGCTCCAGCCAGGGTACTGTGATAAATAATCGAAATGGTTTATCCACTGCGTAGCAGATCCTGAATATGTACATTTTTACAAAACTATCTAGAAGTTCGTAAAAATAAAGGAACAGAATTCCTCAAACGAAAGCATCCAAATCCCGAACTGAGTCACCTTGTCTATCCGTAGAGGGAGGCCGTCTTTTTTCCACTTAACCAGAGTTATAGGGGGGTTGGCATCTACTGGGCAGCGAATGAAGCCTGGGAGACCAATGGCCACATAAATGACAGATGGCATGTTTACCACACGGGCAGGGTCTGGTGATTACAGAAAGAGAAAAGGCGACTGATAAAAATCACCCGTTGAGGTGAGGGGAACCAAATGGCCGGTTATCGCAGCAAACGTGTGAGGAGGCTTGGGAAATCTCTCGGCTTTAGACAGCAGGCTCTCCGCACAGTGACAAATTTATTTACCTTGCGTGGAGCACAGCTGATCTCAGAACAGCATTTGTGTATATTACTAATAGTGATGTACACTAACATCAATGATGTGTGGAGTAATTCCAAGAGTAAGTCATCAGTTTTATCTCAAATTAAACGCCATGAAAATCTCCAACAACTGTCGAAGATTTTCATGAAAACAGCACGTTTAGCATGCTATCATTAAGAGCAGCGAGCATCTTATCTGGAGTACATAATTTCTACTTAAGTCTATCTTTACAGACTTCTATTCAAATAGAAGAATAGTGTGAACACTATTCTAATGTGTGCACTAATGTACGCACATCTATGACTTCACAGCTCACAATAAAGTATTTGAGACAGGGTATAGAGAAATTGAAATGTGACATCACACACACAAGATCCCGCCTCCCAGCTCCCTGCTGGACGGCAAAATAATGGCTCACCAATGATAACGATCATTGGTTTTAGAGGAAAAAGGGACGCAGCTTGACTTTGATAGCCTTAACATGTGGATGTGCTGCAGAATTTGGTGCATTTCACTGAAACAGAAGTCTGTTTGGATGTGTACTCAAACCAGGTGAGGTGACATCGTGATGTAATCCGCTTCACTGAGACTTCATAGGATCATATTTATAATCTTCAACCACTGTTCAAACATTTGATTTAGAGTGCCCGGCTTCTTCTGGTGCAGAATTATAACACATGCCTCGATACAATCACATAACAGCAGGATTAAATGCAAAATGTCCAGGGAGCTGATTTAGTACCACATATGGAATTGGCACACAGCAGATTTATTTATTTTTTATCCAATTGATCCATGGGTCGCATATGGGCACATTTGGGTCACATTTACCTGCTGTGTGAACTTAGCCTTGGTCTCATCTGAAAAAATCAAACATTTGCAGTTATAGTTCGGTATGCAGAACATCCATCAATCCGCCTATCGACGCTGGAGGTGGGACACACTCAGGACAGGTACAAACAGAGACACATGTCAAACAACAATGCACACACATACCCACACACACCTAAGGGCATCCTGCGAAGTCACACTGCTGCAAACTGCTCCCCTGTGAAGCCCATATGCAGAGGAGAAAAGATTTATTTTCTGTTTTCACTCCCAAGCCTGCTGACATACAGCATCTAATGGTTGATATTATGACTCGGTGATGCCAAAATTTCACTTTATTAAGCAGTTTTGTAACAGTGAGGTTTAAAGCCTCTCTTGCCATCTACTCACAGCCCTGAACTTACTGGAACAAAGATGTATTATGCTAATTATCCGACATTCCCCTCCCCATCTTAAAACCGTCTTTCAACTGGTGTTTGATTCAATCATCAAACCCTTTTAAAATCAGACAACAAGGGGGGAAAAAGAGGTCATTGTTCTCTAAATAAGAAAGACAAAAAAAAGGAAAAGTTTCAGTTGATCCAGAATTTGGAGGACAGGGCAGAACACTGTGGTGCCTCACTAAGGTCAGGGAGGAGAGCTTCCCATTATGCACTGGGTGATAAGCATGAAAGATGACGTGACTGAGTGGAGGAGGGGAGAGCTATCAGCAGAGCAATAGAGGGAGAAGAAGTGAGGCTGAGCGTGGGAAACAGGACAGGTGAGAGACAGAAGTGACTGCATGACGTAAGGCAGAGTGGAGCCGCTGGAGGAGAGCTGGCTATGGGATGCTGTCACCGAGGAACAGGGGAACAAAAGATGCCGCGAGGAAGAGGAAATGAGCAGCAGAGCAAGCGACTGAGGGACGTGGGAAAGCTGGACGGCTCGGACAACTTAGGACCAGCATCACGTCTGTCCTGAAGCCCAGACTGTGAGCCCAGAGGAGCGCCGCCACTGGCATCACAGACAAGAATATCAGCCAGGTTTCTAAATATAGCACTCAGAGAGCCCTATCGTTCATGAGGCGCTTGGTTCCCACTGATGCTGAGGGGAAGTTACTCGCTGGCACAGCCCTTCAAGGAAAAAGACAGGTAGAGAAAAGAGAAAAGAGAAGGGAGAACATTGATGGCTGACAGAAGGGGAGCAAAATGAAAGGAAGCACATCAGAAGAAATAATAGAAGCGAACGAATCAGAGAGCCCCCTGCAGTCTGATGAGAAAAGTCACCAGTCTTACAGCAATGATGTAATCCCCCTTTTTCCTCACTCCTCTCCTCCCTCTCCTGACTGGTGTTGCTTATCTCCGTTCACACACACAGAAACACAGACATACACAGCCGTCCACGGAGTCGGCGGGACGGGAGAAACGCTAAAGATCTGCCACTTTAACTAGCATCACAGCGTCCACCGATCGACGAGGTCTCGCGTCCCCCTCCTGCCTCTCCCCGTCTGCTCCAAACACCCAACACAAGCTTTTCTACAGGCGACAGATTCACACAGGCTGGAGCCCCGACCGACTGCTGGACCGCTGGAGCGCTCCAGCTCAGAAATGAGGAGGCAGTAACCCAGAGAGAGGATAATATGTCAGTGAGCACATAAACACACACAAACAAGTACAAATAAGAAATATAGAAACAAGCTATTGGAATGAGAGGCAGAGAAGAGAGGGAGGAGAGCAAAACATGGAAAAGTGTTTTATGAGAGAGAACAGGTGTTTGACTGGGATTAGGTTTTTGCCTGAGAGAAGGAAGCAAGTGTCAGTCTGCTAGAGAGAACCAAGTGGTTCATTGGTCCAGAAACCCATCTTGCACCAGAAGGAAACAATTATTGGGAATCATCTACAGCAGGGTCCAGTTTAAACTAAACCCACATGGAGAAATACTCTGTCATCTTTATGCATATTCAGGTGATGGGAAATGGAGGTACACTCATGTCGCCCAATTTTACCCGAACAGGTCAAAATGATTTCAGGTGATTCTCCTCCCCCTGACCAACACTTCCACCCAGACAGGTAGGGCGTGGCTTCCCTCTTTGTTCACCTGTCATGTCCACAGAGCAAAGCTCCATCATCCAGAGTCTAAACATTACAACTGTCTGCTCAGATCCATCCATTCATGCAGTTTTTTAATATCACATTCAACTCAATAGATTGATTGACCTGCCTGCCACCCAATTGCAACGAATCAACGAGCAAAGAAAAGGGAACAAACTTGGTCTCTGTCGAGCTAATTACTGTTGTCAGTAAATGTGCTTGACAAAAGCAGGAGAAACACTCGCTGTGTTTAAAAAACAACCAAGAAACTGGAGCCAAGGTTTGCAACCTGATGTTCAAACTCTATCCGGTCAGATTACAGCGCTGTTACTTCGACAGCGAAAAATAATCAACAACCTCCCCGAAAGTTGCAATGTTTGTTTCAGTCCAGCGGTTGGTGTCTCTGGTTCTCTGATCACCACCCACACACATAAAATAGAAGAGGAAATTCACTATAGGTCAAATACTTTTTTAGGAAGTCTAATCTTAGCACCATCAGCCATGTTTAATCCACTTTAATCCAACTCTAGCTCATTTGTCTAGGAAGTCTTGTTCGTTTGGAGGTGTGTGATTCTGTATTCGAACTCCGATTTGGACCAAAAAAAAGCAAACTCCAGGCAACCTAAAAACCTGAAAGAGAGCTCTGGTCTGGTTCGAATGCATGTGTGAACGGCAAGCAGACCAAAAGCAGTAAGCCGTCAACAGCGCAGGGCATTCTGGGTAAGTGCAACCAAAACAAACGCCTGTGTCTGGCACCAGCGGGAAGAGTGGTTTGTGGTTTTTAAGCAAAGAAAAAAGAGAAATCCTACAAAATCCTCTGATCTCTAAACTCCATTTTTGCTTATATTTTGCAAAGAAGGAAGTTGCACTAAGTGTCTTCTTCAGAGGTTTCTGCATTGGCCATCGCAGGCGAGGGGGTGAACAGGTTTTTCAATGGCTGGTTTGACATGGTGCAGTGTGAGAGCGAACCGCACCAGCAGAAAGTGTAGCAAATATCGCAAATCCGGTCTCCAATCAAACCGAGTCTACATTTCAGATGTGAAAACCCACTTAAACACATTGGAAGCCAAGGCATTTTCAATGGGACACTGACTTTGTGCTGCCTCAATACAAATGCACAAATGCTAATTTAGCATCCAATCAGAGTAATCCAGTGCTAAAAGAGCAAATAACATTTCAGAAGCACGACTAGAAGAAGATCGGTGGTAAAATCGTCATCCTGACAGCAAAAAAAAGAGAATAAAATTGTTAAACGTGGATTAGCTTACTTACATTGCACTGCTAGGTAGGCAGAGGCAGACGGTGGTATGCCTAGGCTGTTGCTGGGGGAACAGGTGTATTTCCCTGTATCCTCGGGCTTGACTTGCACAATGATGAGGGAACCATCAATGAGAATACTGACTCTCCGCTTGAGGTCACTGTGGATATGAAGAGAAGCACTGGGATCTAAATTCAGTAAGTCACAGCAAGTCTGTTAAATCTAACCACCCGCCGCCTGGAAGTGTCGTCCTAATGAACCATTTTTACGCGAGTCATTTTTTCCAAAGAGTGCAACATTTAGTGGCGACTGTCCGCTAGACTGAAGCTCCCGCCTGGCAGCAATTTTGATACCCTTTAAGGCATTTTTTTGTCATTTACTGAAGAAAATATATTAGCCCATACATTCATTCTCTTGTCATTTGTGTATAAAGTGAGACCGTTGTAAAAATGATAATACATTTGTCATTTTTGATTCATATCCCTGTGGAAGCAGAGTTCTGACTCAGTCATAAAAGATGCTTGTCACAGAGCTTGGTTTATAACTCAAAGCGGAACGGCTGGATGTTGGGAACTCGACACGTCAACCGGCTTCAAAGGTAACTGAACATCACAGCAACTCATATTCCCTCAACTTATTAAGTTTCTACCCTACAGCAAAAACAGAATTCCAGTAAACAACAGATATATTTATTGACCCCAGTACCAAAGATTTCACTATAAGCAGTATTTCACTCTGAGAGTTTTAACCACTATCAGAATATAATAAGCCACCATGCAGGTGGGCTGTAAACTGGCGAGAGAGTCGGACATCGCAAACTACTTAAAATCGCGGGCTGGAATCCATTTTTGTTTTATTTTCCAGGGGTTTTGTGAATTTATTCTTACTTTTGACAGTTTCAAGTTATTTTAAAAGCCACTGTGGGCCTTTTGGTCCACCTGTGTAAGTGTTGTAACAGTGCTGCACCTCTTTTTCTGTCATGACATCATGACAGAAAAAAGCTTTGCATACGATTTTAGAATTAAGCCAGGCAGTCTTCTTCAATAGCTGTAGAGTATGGGTGCAAATGAGACTTGTTTGTCAGATTAAAGGTACCTTTAAAAGAACACTTTTTTAGCAGATTTAAACATATTTATTATTAAAATAAATAGTTCACACCAATCGGTCTGAGCTATTCTACTCTCAAATGTCATGTTTTGAAATCACAAATAACCATAAATTACAGAAATAAAGGCTTCAAGAGTGAATCGAATCACTGAAATAAATAAGCTTGTCAATAATATTCTAGTTAATGTAACATGAATGTATACACGGAACGTTACGGATTGTATTTCCACACTTCTCATCAGATTCAGCTAAAGAATCGTCCCCGCAGACAATCAGATCTCCGCGGGATTTTTTTACCGGTGCCGATGAGTCGACACTTCAATCTGTGAGGCAGAAGAGCAAACAATAACGAACATGATCATAACTTTACTTCTTGAAGAAGACGTTGTCCTCCTCCCAGAACCAGGTGTATGTCAAGTTGCGAGGATAGGCCTCCGCCTGGCAGGTGAAGAAGGCGTCCTGCGAGATGTTCACCGTTATGTTCTCTGGTGGTGAGATAATAAACGGAGGGCCTGGTGGGAACACAAACAGCAGCGTCTAAATGTGTCGCATAAAAATGGTCAACCTAATATTTAAATTAAAGGTGTGCAGAGAAGTCGACTGGGAGGTAACCAGCGCGGAGATTTAGTTAGACTAACAACTGAAAACCCCAATCCAGATTATACTTGAAACGTTGCATTGACAACAACACTCTTTGAAGCGTAAAAAAGACTCAACACAAAACCTTTTTAAACTTAAAACATTCTTTTAAAGGTCTGAAGATAAGGAGTGAGTGAGTGAGACCTTCAGCAGACTCAAAAAATAAGTTATTCTTTTAATTAACTCGAGGTTTAAACTTCTATCTGTAATAAAACATGCTGTATTTGAAACAAAATATCTATTTAGCACTATTTAGTTTGAGAATAAATATTTTTTTCTGGTAAAATACAGATTTAGCTACTTGGCAAACTAAATACTGAACTACATATTTAGCTTATTTAATTCTGAGTTGGAAAAATAAGTAGTTTGGCCTGAGTTAGCTTAACATTTAAATAAAGAGCTCTTCAATCCTTAGTCCTTTAATCCTTACTTAATCCTACAGTTATTTTTGTGTATAGTTACATATATAGTTATTTTACTATCAATCTGTTGCTTGCCTCTTTCTGTGATTCCAGGGATGAAGCCGATTAAAGCATGTTAAATCTTAAAAGAGTGACTAGAGATGAAAATATGCATCCTGTTAAAATTTACTCACTAAAATAGATCTGTGTGCAAAGTGTCCTGATGATTTTCAGAACAAAGAAATTGAATGCATTTGTGGTTAAAACAGAAACCATGATGACACAATTGAAATCGGTTAACTGCTGACTTGTATCATTTTATTATCGCTTCAGACAGGTTCCAAATACCCCACTGGAAATGAAACAGGGATTCCCACACAAAAGAAAACACAGGACGTCTGGTAACAAATGTGTAACTTGTTAGACTTTCGCTTCACACAGGGACACCCAAACACACATAGTGAGCCAATGTGGCTGCGATAAAGTGTTTTTCCCATATGCTAGCACTGATTAGCAGCGTGCAGTTTGATACTTGAACATGCACAGTGCTTCCATCTGCCAGCTAGTCTGAAGGACAACCAGGACTATGTGAGCCTGGTGGTAATGTTGCTGGTGCTGGCTGCCAGTGTGTGCCTGTGTATCGGTGCCAACCCAGCCTATTTGGAACAAGCTGAGTCCTGAAGATTTGTTGGCACCGTGGCGTCTGCTGATCTGCAAACTCCAGGCAGAAAGATTTCAGGAAGGGATTCAAACCCACGGCTCTCTTGGTGCACGGTAACACAGTGTGGACAGCTTCTCGTTATGTCTGTGTTTAAATGAAGACCATGCACCAACCTTGTACTAGCAGCCTTGTTGTGTGAATGGCCTCTCCCTGGGAGCTAAAGGCTCGGCACGTGTAGGCCCCGCGATCTTCCCGGGTGATGGATAGCACCGTCAAATTCCCATCAGACACCTAGAAGCATTAAACAATGTTTAGCTTTCAAAAGCAGGTCATTACTATGGAGTAACCTGACTTAAGTCAAGTTTGTACAGTTGTGATAAAAAAGTTTACATACACTTGTATAAAACATAATGTCATGGCTGTCTTGAGTTCCCAATAAGTTCTACAACTCTTATGTTTCTGTGATAGTGTGATTGGAACACATACTTGTTTGTCACAAAAACAGTTATAAAGTTTGGTTCTTTCATAAATTTATTGTGGGTCTGTTGAAAATGTCACCAAATCTGCTGGGTCAAAAATATACATACAGCAACATAAATTGTCAATTTTGGTGATGTAGAGAGTTGTGTCAATCAAATTAGCTTAATGTCATGGCCTCTTCACTTCTTGTAAGTGATTCTGATTGACTACAGCTGTTCACTTCTCATGAGCCCATTGAAATAGGGCTCATTTGACCCAGTGATCAGACTCAGCCACAAAAGCTACAATGGGAAAGTCAAAGGAACTCAGTGTGGATCTGAAAAAGCGAATTATTGACTTGAACAAGTCAGGGAAGTCACTTGGAGCCATTTCAAAGCAGCTACAGGTCCCAAGAGCAACTGTGTAGACAATTATTTGCAAGTATAAGGTGAATGGAACAGTTGTGTCACTGCCACGATCAGGAAGAAAATGCAAGCTATCGCATGCTGGCGAGAGGAGATTGGTCAGGATGGTCAAGAGTCAACCAAGAATCACCATAAAGCAGGTCTGCAAGGATTTGGAAGCTGATGGAACGAAGGTGTCAGTCTCCACAGTCCAGCGTGTTTTACATCACCATGGACTCAGAGGCTGCCGTGCAAGAAAGAAGCCCTTGCTCCAGAAAAGGCACCTTAAGACTCGGTTGGGTCTTGGACGCAGTTGGGTGTTCCAACAGGACAATGACCCAAAACACACATCAAAAGTGGTAAAGGAATGGATAAACCAGGCTAGAATTAAGGTTTTAGAATGGCCTTCCCAAAGTCCTGACTTAAACCCCATTGAGAACACATGGACAGTGCTAAAGAAACAGGTTCATGCAAGAAAACCATCACATTTAGCTGAACTGCACCAATTCTGTCAAGAAGAGTGGTCAAACATTCGTCCTGAAGCTTGCCAGGAGCTTCTGGATGGCTACCAAAAGCACCTAGTTGCCGTGAAAATGGCCAAGGGACATGTAACCAAATACTAATGTTGCTGTATGTATATTTTTGACCCAGCAGATTTGGTGACATTTTCAGCAGCCCCATAATAAATTTATGACAGACCAAACTTTATGACTGTTTTTTGTGACAAACAAGTATGTGTTTCGATCACTCTATCACAGAAAAATAAGAGTTATTGGGAACTCAAGACAGCCATGACATTATGTTTTATACAAGTGTATGTAAACTTTTGACCACAACTGTATGTATGTCAGCAATAAGGCAGTTCGAGGTGCTTTACATCATAAAACCATCATTCAGTTCTCAATTATGAAACAAGCAATAAACTCTCAATCCACAATCACAAACATACAGTCAAAAGTTTTGAACTGTGATTTTTTTTTTCTTTTACAGAAGAGCTGACCAGTGTCAACGCTAAAGGAGTCACTGAACTGGTTCATAAAGCCTGAAGATAAAATAGACGCAGGCAATATATTGAATATATTTGGTGCATTCAGAGTAAAGTTAAACAAAAACATAAAAATTTGATGATATTAAGTGATTACTTTTCTTCAATGTGTGTGGTTTTCCCTAACATCAGTAGATTGCAACATGTCGTTGTGCGGCGGGACACGTGAAAGGAGTTCCTGATCTACAGTGCATTTTTGATCCATCCTAAAAACAAGCCCACATCCCAGATGGATAGATGGAATGGAGTGGCACCGAACATCTACCTTGTACTTGGCACTGCTGATCAGAAGACTGCCTTCTCGCAGCCAGCTGACAGAGGGTTTTGGGTTGCCGAACGCCATGCAGCTCAACGTGATGCTCCCTCGTTCCTTGGCCTCGACATACTGAGGTGGTGTGTCTGTGAATGTGGGAGGGGCTGAGGAGACACAACAGGAATGACATGAACTGCATGAGGTACCAGTAGGGACCATTCTTGACTGACATAATGCAGGACCTATGTATATATTGTCTAAATCTCACTAAAACATCCAAACCTTCAGAAACTCTTTTGAAGACCTCTGACAAGTGCGACAGATGACAGAAACAGTAACACCTCTTAGGTTTTCACAATTTGTTCACAAATTTCAGTACATTTTATGAGTAGCACATAGATGACAGAAAAATAACCATGTTTACTTTACCTTCCACATGCTAAATAAATGTTTCAATTAGCTTGTCTTTTGCATGAACTCTAAATAAAAGCCACTAAAGTTATTTCCTGTAATTTAAGGAGCCCATATCTGTAGATGGAAAAGAACAGATGCTTCCCTTCAAGCCTGAAAGAGCTTCAGAGCTTCTGCCAGTAAGAATGGGATGAGCTGCCCACATGCAACTGCAGGACTTACTACAAAGACTTTAAGCTCAAATGCTGACAGAGGCTCTCCCACAAAGGATCAAGTGAAGAGTCGGGACTCTTTCATATTTGAGACAATTTGTGGTTTGAATAGTTTTATTAAATATATTTGAAACGATTCATTTTGGTTCTAGGTGTTGCTCTGGTTTATATGTACTTGCAGGCTTCTCCTGCAGTAATGTAATTTCAAAAAGATCTAAAGAAAAGTCCAGCCTTTCAGGTGGATTTATTCTGCTGGATTCCAACCCTGATGTTAATACCTTGTCATTTACCAATAGGACAGAACACAGTCTTCTATAACTTTTCAGAGGGTCGGTGTATCTAAGTCCTGGTCAGAGAAAAAGAAGAAAACGTCAATCATCCATCGTGCCAAATGAGCCGACACAACCAACAGGCCCCAAATATGGGATTGTACAGTTTAGGATGTTCACAGAGTTTTTAAGAGTCCATATGAGTTCAAGTGTGTGAAAACTTGGTCTGAAAACTGCCTACCGATTCATATGTGGGTAAAGCTAGTTTAGTGAGTCGGCTTCCAACTGGACTACAGGACAAGTTCAGTTGTGGGCTGAGATCCCATCATCCCTGTTGTCTCACCAGACTGCTCAACAAGGTTTGAGTTAATTCAAGGTCACCCAAGTCCACCTGGTCAATCCCAAGATAATTTTACGCTGAAGCAGATGAAAACGTCCCCCTGTGCTTATTGTCTCCTTCTTCCAGGAGTGCAGAGAAAATCAGTGTATCTTTGCTCCGTGGCCACAACTGGTCGAACGTAATCGTGTAACTTCCATGACGGATGCAGCTTCTCTGTGAGAACATAACTCAAGGTGCATTCACAGACAACACAAAGTTGTCTGTATATGGATATGTACACTTTTTTTTCCCCAGCAGACAGATTCTCTACAACATTGAGGACTGGAGACTTGAGTTTACCATGGAAGTAGCTGGTGAACCATTTATGTTGATTTGGCTGTAACACATTCTGTTTTCTGGCAAGAAGCAGATGATTTTTATGAAAGAAGTCCTGGTATTTCACAAAGTCTATGATGTTATGCATCCTTGGGAACAGAAACTGGTTGAAGCATCACAGATTATATGATCTGTGATGCTTCAGGATAGCTGGGATTATAAACAGGGACGATTATTCATAACTAGCAAGCTGTCGTCCGAGCCAAACACAGTTAAATATATTTAATCTCTCTGTTTTACCCCAGTTCAACTCTGCTCCATCTGCATTTACACAATGATATCATCCGTGATTCAAGCATAATTTAAACCAACGTTCAAATCTCAGACTAATCAACTTAGGTCTGAGGCTAATCTTCTTACAAGCATAATCCCATAGCTTCTCATATGCTAACATGATATTCCATGCGCTGCCATGAGCCAGGGCAGAGCGCTAATTCACATTCTGTCGCAGCAAACTGCATGTGACCCTGCAACGTCTAACAGAGAAACCAGGTCAAAACGTAATTATAAAGCATGCATCATGTTGGAAACTGTAAGTATGTATTAAAGTGTGGATAACATAACAATGCATCACATATACATAAATATGAATAAGTCTGGACACAACACATATGATGAGACGTACAAAAGTACTAAATTCATTATTAATTCATTAGCATGACTGTTCAGTTATATGCATCTTTTTTTTTCTTTTCTATGAATTGAGTTTGGACTAAAATCACAGAAATATTTTTCTTCTGCGTCATAAATATAGTTCTCAGATTCTAACAATGTTTTTTACGATTATTATTTTGACTCTCCAGGGTCCATGGACGCCTGACACACAGAAAAGGAGATGTAGCAGAAATATGGATAAACCACAGTGGAAATCACACTCATAACTTCAGGCTCCCAAATGTTGTTGTCCTATTTGGAGGGAAGCTCCAGTGAGGTTAACAGAAACCAATCAAGACATCATGCAAATAGAAAAAAAAAAGATCCCAGTTTTCTTTCACTTACTTTCTGTAAGTTATAAAACATGAAAACGTTTTAACTTCAGTTGTCATATAAAGTGAGACACCAATGTTTTGAAGCATAGTCATATTTTCAAAGGCAAGTTTCAATTTGGGAAAACTTGAACAACTGAATGTAACTAACTAATAACTAGCTGCCAGATCAGGTTTATAAAACTGAAACATTTCACATTGTGGCTTTCGCTGAAACCCGGTGGGGTGTTTAGTCATGCTGAGGGCTTAGGAAAAGAACCGGGATCAACATTATTAGGCAGCATCATGTGGAGTCCAACCAGGGGTAAGAAGGAAGAAGAAGAGGTGTCAACTTGAAATATAGATTTCTGTTTCTCATCTCAACAGAAATCTATATGCAGCACTTACTCTTCAGTGACAACAAGGCTGACAGATTAAGTGCTTGGTGTAATCACAGACAAGCTATGATGTTTGACAATGATGGGGAAATATGGATTTCAGACAAACAACTATGAAGAGAAGTGCAGAACCCTTAGCATTTAAGGACTTATTGGCAGAACTCATAGGAAGAATTTTTCATGTTTCTGTGATGTGGAAAGAGGAGGAAAGGTAAAAAAAAAAAACAGTGATGCTTCCCAGGTGATCAAAATAAAATCAAATCAAATTTTATTTGTATAGCACATTTCAGCAGCAACGCATGTCAAAGTGCTTTACATCATAAACACAAAAACACAAAGTCATGCATCATGGAATAAACAATACATTGTTACGTATTACGTTTCAAATACAATTCTGAACAGATGTGTTTTTAGTTGAGATTTAAAGGAAGTCAGGGTTTCTGCTGTTTTACAGTTTTCTGGAACTTTGTTCCAAATTTTTGATGTATAGATGCTGAAAGCTGCTTCTCCTCTCTTGGTTCTGGTTCTGGGGATGCAGAGCAGAACCAGAAGACCTGAGAGTCTAGAAGGTTGATACAACAACAGCAGATCTTTGATGTATTGTGGTGCTAAACCATTCAGTGATTTGTAAACTAACCACAGTATTTGTTAGTTTCCAACAAATAGATGCAGGTGGTTTTTCTGGTGCTAGCAGAGCTTTGAGGAGAGTTACCACTGAGGGAGGATATGTACTCTGAAGTCCTGACTGGCTTACATTGGTTGTGTTGCATTGACAGCATATAAACACTGAAATATTGTGATTTGGGCCTGTAGCACAACTTGTGTGAAAAATGGAGCGTTACGACTCAACATCTGATTCAAACTCATTGGATTTCAAAATGGTTTCGAACTGTAAAAAGAAAAAAAAGAAGCTGGAAACAAACTAATTCATAATATTTTTCTCTTCTAGGAATTTTATGAAAAAACTGTAAAGCTGACCTATTGTTCAGCATGTGTACAGCTATGTGCATACAGTGTGCATGGAGCGCTACTTGGTTTTCTGTTTCACATGAGATCTGTTGTCTTTGGGAGGAGAGAGCGGGAGCAACCAGTAAGGTGTTGGGTTCTTAAACGACAAAGTTTCCCACATCTTTAGACTGAACAGCTCGAATAAAGCGTGATGCTCGATGCTTCCTACCGTTCACAGTTAGATGCACCCAGCTGCCGTTGTGGAAGGTGTCATACTGCTGCTCCAGCATGAGCACTTTGCACTCGTACCAGCCTTGGTCGTCTGAACGCACGCTCTCTATCTGCAGGGACGACTTGCCGTGCAGACTGGCCCGACCTGGACGAAACAGAAGGAGATCAGGCGTCACCGGAGAGGGAAACGGTGAAATACAAACAGTTGGGGGGTAAATTATAGAAGATAGTCAAAGACGTTAAGGGAAATGAATGGATGGATGAACAAAACAGGTCTATTTATAGACCTGAGAGGTAAAAAGTACCAGACAAAAACTGAATAAACATTTGTCAGAGGGTTGGATAAAGTCTCAGTGTCTTATTGAAACATCACAACACATAAAGCCGGTTTCTAAGGACACTGTGGAGCGCAAACATCAGACATCATCGCTGCACTTGGATACACAGAGCAATCTATCATTTAAGTATCCCTGGGATGCCCTGTTTTCCATGAGTGTGGTGCTCTATTTTAAAAGACGCACTCAGGCAAGGACAGGTCGTTACTCCCTCAGAGGGATGGGGAGAAGCCAACATGACAACGTGCTTAAGATGGATGGCAACCCTCGGGGTTACTCACAATCCATCAGGACAGATATTAGCTTTGGAGTTGGTAAGTAGAGTCAGGAACAGATGGATACCAACATTACAGATCACAGATCAAAAGCTGAGACTGGGGTTACCAACTTGCCCCAGGCAATCGGGCAACTGGATCAAAACAGATGCAAGCGAAGGCAAAACGAAGGGCTTCCAGTGTTCCAGCATTAATCCCCTCACTGGCCAGTTAGAGGGTGTTTCTCACTGAATTCAAAAAACATGCATGAATGTCACGACTTGATTATTGTAGTGTTTCATGACCTAATTTTAAGGAATGCAAGAAGCGAAGAATATACAGTAGGTGTGGCACCGAGGCAGATTCGGCTTTTTGTTTTATCCATTATCATTTATTTAGATGCAACAGCTAAAAGGAGGAAGAATGTCGATGTCACACAATGTTTACAGAAATGATGATGGACGCTACACGGATGGATTTTAAAGTTGCCCAGCAGCAATGTTACGTTACAACATCATAACTTGTTAATAAATAAATACAGAGTCTGGCTTCTTCTGGTGCAAAATCAAGACGCTCGACTTAAAAGTTGGATGATATGCGACGTGCCAGTTTTGTCTGCAGGTCCTTTGAAAATGATCGGTTGCATGTCTGATTTGGTATCGCGGGTGGAAGTGGCAGAAACGGGACGTCCGAATCGAGCTGTTCAAACTGCTATGAAAAAGTCAGACACAGGTCGCATATGGGCAAAAGACAGAGAGAAAAGAAACCAATTTGCCTGCACTGTAGTTCCACATAACATGTCTGCACCAAAGAGAAACCCATTAACACAACTTTGAGCTGCTATTTGTCTCGTTTCCATTCATTGCTGTTTTCTTTGTGACTGAAACAAGACAGAACTGGGATGCCTTGCTGCTTATTTATGCTAGGCTATTTATTTCATACTAACTCTGTCTAAACTAAAACTGTTTGTTTAAAGATAATTTGGCTTCAGTTGGCACTTTCAGCTCTTATTGGCTGAGAGTTAATGGTCTCTTCTCTGGATCCCCTATTAGACTAGATATATTAAAACATTAAAGTAAACGAGAAGCCATGCTCGAGTGAGTCCACATGAACGCAGTACTAATGTCTGACTCTCTGGAAACTGTCGTCTAAGATTCCTTTTGAGAGTGGAGTTCCCCTGGCTGCAGATGGTTGTTAAAAATACCAAAGAGAAAATTCACAGCATGACTGAAAATACTATTAAACTCTTGATTTTAACTCTATTTAGACAAAGTAATACAAGTTAAAGAGACAGCAGAAGCAACAACCTAAAGTGCTGGAAAACAAGTATTTGACCTCTTTTTCTGTTTGTTTGTTTGTTTGATTTTTTGCCATGCTTAATGTTTCTGATAATCCAATTACCAAAAGAAACCCCAGGTAAATAGAAAATTCACTTTTCAGTGATCCTTTCATTTTCTAAGGGGAAAACAATTATTGGTTAATGCAGAATGGCCCAAAATTACTCAGCAGCAAAAGAATAAAACTCTCTGCTCGATGGCAGCCAACGGTTTTAAGCTTTATCTTCATATTTTGTTTAGAAAACTATTTTTCTCTTTAAAAAGTACACTTTGAGTTTAGTTTCATTCTGTCTGATGTTAAAATGAGTTTCGTGATCTGAAACATTTCCGTGTGACGAGCACCAAGAAGAAGAAATCTGTAAGGGGACAAATCCTTAAACATCGCCGGTCGTTTCCAGATGTTTTCTTCACCTGTTTACGGCAGACAGGTCGAGCTTACCAAAGACGGAGCGGCATCCTATTATGCGTTACGTTTTTTAACATTACTTCCAAAATGATTCAAATCCGTGAGAAAAGTTCATTGATTTCCATTCTGAAATATCCAGACATAGTCAGGTTGCTAAAACTAAAAGGCATGAATAAGTTTATGGCTCGCTCATGGACTTAAACTAGTGTGAAACATATTTGTGGCTTGCTTACTTATAATGCCATCGCTGCAGACAAATTCCAATTAACTGTGTGGCCTGAGAGTTTAAACTACTGCTACCAGGGGACTCTGTAAAACCCTGAACAAGGATCCTTGATCCCCGAAAGCTCAGGGGGGCTGATAACGAGATCTTGGGAGACACCGCGGCTCTGTACGCTTTAAATTCTGCAGGATGAAAAAAATAAATAAATAAATCACAGGTGGTAATAGCTAAACCTTAGTTTCCCCTGAAGGCCACTATGAAATATTGCAAAGAAGGCCGGAGCTGTTTTAACAAGGCGACGGACTGCAATAAAACGCTGCAGCCATAAACTGATGATCATTGCTGAGAAAACTAGAAAACTGACAGACCATGAAAACGTTTAGAGTAGCACACCCAAAGCCAAAGGGGAAAAAATGACAGCAATAACTGCTACTATGTTTAACTGTGTTCATGATATTTGATTTCAGGTTATTGGAACCAAGTTGCAGCATCTATATATGATATGATCTAGTTGTCTGCTTTCCTGCAGTTAACCAATTAAATAAATACATTTTCTATTGTCTTCATTTGATGCAAATACAATTCAGATCTTTTTCTCGGGGAACCAGCAGCTAGCATACTGCGACGCAAGACCAAAGTGGAATTTGCCATCTATCTTAAGACAATTGTTAAAACTGTCATACGTTTATGAAGGTGCTCTTTTATTATAATACATAATATTGCACTACTCAAGGTCATTTGTTTTATTTCAGGCATTTGCTCTGACTGTTTATCCTCAGAGCATTTTGGACACAAAAGATCTTTGGCATCATGTCAACATAAATAACTGCTTCAGGCAAATCTCTGGCAAGTTTCACAAAACGAGCTTCAGAGAAGAATCAGTCTACTTTCACTCCTGGCTAAGGAGAGATATACCATGGCTTTAAAACGTTATCAGTTCAAGAACATTATATTTTCCCAACATGCTGCGCCGACTGTTTAACGTCCCTTTAATTAATTGCTAGTGAGTCGCCGATCACGCATTTCTTTTGTTTGCAAGAAACCCAGAACCTGCTCCTTGGCAGGTTCTGGGTTTGAAGCTAGAATGAAAGCTGCCTATTACTGGTGTTAAGGAACATTTTGAAAGTAGTTGACAAGCTAAAAGCCTACTAAAAGCCAAGGAGGCCTTGAATAGGTTCAAGATAAAAATAAAAAGAAATTTTAAAAAAGCTGCTACAATATAATAGTACTTGCATTTATTTATAGTTGCATGATTTCTGCACAGACCTGTGAAAAACCGCTGGTCACATTCTCACTACGAACAGGGAGGTAGCACAGGCTTTACAATACTTCTGTTCATAAATCACTGAACTACTGAGAACCAAAACACATTAGAGCCCCGTAGCTATCGTGTCAGACTATTCAGGTCTTCTGGTTCTGGTCTACTCTGCATCCCCAGAACCAGAACCAATCATACAGAAGCAGCATTCACGAGTCTGGAAACAAACAGTTGAAACTCTGAGCTCCGTTAAATCAGCTCAGAGTTAAATCACCGGTTTATAGTTGCCTTTTACTGATAAAAACTGAAACATTGATTAATTCTAGTCTGTTTTGCTTCTTTATTTTTGCCAGTGCAATTTAATGTTCTTTTGTCTGCACATGGTGTTATGTCTACACCATGTAAAGCACTTTTAACTGCTTTCTTGTAGAAATGTGCTATACCAATAAACTTCATTTGACATGTTTTAACCTGTGTATATCTACGGGTTGCTTGCGTTATGCTGACTTCCTCAAGTTGTCTTCCGGGTCTCTAAGTCTTTCCAACATGTGAGATCAGTTCAGATTTCAACTCCGACCCAGACCTTCGATACCAATTACGCTCTTTGTTTATTTGCAAATCCACACTTAATCGTCGCTCGTTTCAAGGCCGAACTCTGCTGAGAATGGACCGCTGCTGTGGTGGCACTGCAAACTCCTTTATCCGCGTGATCCTATATTGACAGACACGTGACTGAACAATGCAGTCTGATTTTATTTTATTTCACATACAGTTGTGGTTCCGACGTCGGCCTAATATCGTCGCTTTGCCTGAATGCGCTCTGAATTGACTCCTCGTTTGATCAAAACCAGCAGCGCTGCACGCTCAGCAACTTTACTGATCTCATACAGCGCTGCATGTGGAGCAGACAATTAGATTTTAAACACACAGCAGGTAGAAAGATCCAAAATAGTATTCTTATGCAGAATAAGGCAGATGGGGAAAGAAAACGTATTATATTGGGGTGCAGACTGTGGGTCAGGTCACATGCTTATTGGTTGTTTTTCTGGGTAATTCTAGGATTTTATAAATAATAGTGCAAAAATAAAACTTGAATGCATTTACAAAGTGCAGTTTGGTGCAGACAGGGAACAGATTTGGATGGAAACCCCCGCAGGAAACTGGCTCTAAAGGAAAAGCATTGATTGGAAAATTCCCTACTTGTGCTGCTAATGTAAGGCCTAAAATATTCAACAGCGCTTTTCATGACACCAAAACACAGCAGCAAATCGAAGCCAAAGACATGACGATGACGTGCAGAGCGCACAAAGCACCGCTTCATTCTACAAAAGTGGCAGCGGGTTACTGCATAATGCCTCCATGTCATTTGACAGCAGCAGTAAAATTAAAGGCACCAGTAAAACCAGAAAAGATCCATTTAGGCTGCAAGCACTGATACAGCCGGTTGTGGTGAGAAGTCAACGAGGGGTTTTGGTGGCATTTAAAACGAACACTCTAAAATCTCACTGGCCTTGTTTTGTCTCCACACTCCATTAACTACACAGAGTCACAATTATGTCATTATCACACACAAAATCCAGTGTGGGCAAACTTAAAAGCCTTTTCTTTCAATAATGAACTCAGCAGCGTGTAATCCCACAACAGTAATTATTCAGCTAAAGCAGCATCCAGTTCTTTCCACCAGCGAGGAACGTTTACCAGAGCAAATAAGAGAAGACGGATACGAGATGGTTGAGACTGAAGTCACAGAGTCTCTTTCATATGTGCAACGTAGAGGGAGGGAGCAGAGGGGGGGAAAGTCATTAACAGACAGTAGCTATAATCTCAAACTATCTTGGGAAGGAAATCAAACGTGTTAAACTGACAGCAGGGTTAAGTGTTCTCAAAATACCTGACCTGTGTTGAGAATAATAGGAAAACAACTCAAGTTGGACCCTGCGCTTCTCTACAGATCTGTACAAACAGAGACAGGACTATGAACAAAAATGAAATAAAATGAATAGCATGGCTTCTTTAGGTAAATTTTCACTGGTTACTGCACTGCAAGGTGCAGCAGGAGGGGCATGTGGACTTACCCAGGAGGTCAGCACGTGCTACCATAAAATCCACAGCCGATATCTGGTGTTTCTTATAGGTTGTGATTCTGTATTTCAAACAAATAAGTTCACTCACTGAAGGCATCTCGATGCTGTACTTCATAGTGTGTGTGATGATATTCAAGACTATGCTAATCATCTTTATTTCTGGTTCTCTTGTAGGTAAGACAGGAAGTGTTTGACATCTTTATCTGATATAGACAGTGGTGAATCAATCGGTGTGCTTTCAAACAGAGCTGTAGATGGGAATCAGCCGTGTTAAAAGCAAAAATGTGCCTCATTACAGATAAGGTTCCAGGGTTTGCGCCTCAGAATGTCGACACTGCGGATCATTTGATCCAGACATTATTGGGTTCACATCGAGGCTCCGGGTTGAGGTAAAACCGGACAAGACTGGTAGATTAGGAAAACACGAACGTTTTTATTTTTATTCTTTATGCAGATGGTAAAAGTGACAAAAAGACATTTCTAACGCAGTTGAACTCTTTTTAGAAAAGATACACCGATTTTCTGACCAATTACTGATCTTTAACGAGGCTGATCTGCCAAATCCGATTTTGGCTGATATATATATATAAAAATATATATATATGCCTAAAAATCCTTAACCCCGAACACAAGTTTCTCCCAGCGTATTATAAGGCTGGCGACCCGCCAGGCTTTATTTGCCACAACCATCAGACTAGGCATCTGTTTTTTATATCTTTTAAATAGGTTTCATTCACCAGTGACAGTAAAGATGGATTAAACTAAGTTTATGGCTTATATATTGAGCTGGATGAGAGGTGGGGGGAGGGTGCACCAATCAAACATGTTCAATGATCTCAGGCACCGACGAGGCGTTATATTGTGCCCTACCAAATTCTTGTAACTGTGTCTCACCGTTCACTCAAAATGGCCCATCTGGAAGGGGCTCTTGCAGAGCAGGTTCATCTGTTCTGCCATTTGTCTGAATCCTCTGTAAAGGTTGTCTTTTGGGAAGATACCGCAACAACATACATGTCAAGTCTGAAAGGCTCACCGGTTGCTCAGTTCTCTCAAAGTAAAGCACTAAACGCTCATAAAGGCTGAGTTATAGTCGCTCGTCTGAAACTGATTTTTGCACATGTACTTATGTGAACAAAGAATGATGTGAACACACAAAAATACAGAACAGTAAAAGCAGAATTACAACATAAAATACTGTGCAGTAGCGTACTCCAAAGGAATGTGCAACTAAACAGAATGATTTACAAAATATTCGGAATGTAAATATGTATTTGTGTAAGTGCAAAACTTTTTTTTTAATGTTTTTAAATGTATTTTATTTTGTTGCCTTTTTTCCCCAGTGCCTCGACCGCTAAGGTTTGCATGTTTCTGGGGTAAACCCTGCATTTCAAGCACATATTCAGGTGTCAAACTCATTTCTGAATGTTCCTAAAGGGCCGGTTGTGCCAGAACTTTTTGATAAAACCCACTAAGCTGTTAAAATATAAATACATGGCTGTTTGTGTCAGTATTCAATAAGCATTTCTTAAAATTAAATACTCAACATTTCTTTCCATCTAGGATTTTGTGAATGTTTGTGTTTTGTGTTTGTTTTTTGTGGTGCTAATTTGGAAATAATTGTTATGAATTTCAGGATATTTTCACGAATGTCTGATGCTAAATGTAACTTTTATCACTCGACATGTCGTTTCACGGACTATAACTTGACATCAAGTAAAGCTGGGGCAGCAGTCACTTAAACCCAATGTTTTCGGCCAATTTGAAGAAAGATTTTCACTAAAAATCAGGAAAAAATGTGATTTGTTGATTTTGATTTGTGAAAAACTGGAGGGACTAATTGATGTAATTTGGAGCCTAAAGGGCCACATAACAAGTTATGGTGGGACAGATTTGACACATGTGACATATATTGTTATATTTTGTTCAGGATGAAAGTGAATAGACTCCCACTTTTGTACATTATTTAATGGAAAAGCAGCAAAGCAGTTAGTAGAAGTCAATCAGAAATGAACACTTACATACCTTCACTGGCTACCAATTTAAAATGATCAGCAAACAGATACTGTAGGAAAGTTGTTTTTAATTATTATTTTCTATTAAGTATGGACCTTCTGCAGCAGGTGAAGAGGCTGCAGCTCACAACTGAACACAGTGCGTGTTCATTAAACCCCAGAGAGATCGCCATTGAAATGCAAAGCATGGCGTCTACCAGCTACATTGCTCTGTTATGTAATCTCATAATGCTTGGTATCGAGATAGCTGAAGTCCTGCTGGTTGCTGAATCCGTCTCACACTCCTAAAATGACAACTTATGTGATACAGTTTGACATGAATGATAAAAATCCCTGAGTCTAAGACATACAATCAGACCCCGACTGCACATAAATAATGTGGGATGGAAAGAGCTGCTGCCTTTTAAGGAAATGTCATCTCATTTATGCTCCCATAATTCACACAGGGGAGAGCATAGCTGATCAGGCAGCTCAGACAAAACGCTTACAGCAAAGCAGGGCAGAAAAAGAAGACCGATATAGATACCTAAATCTATATACAGTTTCTACAAATCGATATTAGGCCTTGTACATGAGCTTGGTAATTATGTTGGTTTCTTGTGTACATATTGGCCAATCGCTGAGCTCCCAAAGAATTAAGGAAATCACGGCCGACTTATCAGTGCGCCACAAGATGACTGGAGGCTTAATGTCCTTTCTTGAAGAAGCCTGTGAGCACTTTCATACATATGTAGCTATAAATGAGTAAAAAATGAGTTGTATTTGAAGAAAAGACGGATTCCTTTCATCCAAAGAGAAAATGTAAACACCAAAAATGTCTCTACTCCTATCACTTTGACTTAAGCTGCACCCTTTTCCTTATCTGTGCTAAAAAGCCATTGGCGTGACCATACTTTGGACATTTACCGGCATATTCTGGGTCCACATGAGGAGGGTAGAAGCGAAAGTTGATGAAGAAAGGGATTGGCATTCCATACTTGAACCACTCCACCACATAGGGCTTTCCGTTCAGCAGGTGAGGCACGTCGCATCCCAAGATGACGCTCTCTCCTGCGCGTGCCGTCACAAACTGGGGCTCCTCTCGCACTCCGTGGGCACCTGGGACACAAAGCGTACAAGTCAGGCTAAACTTACCAAGATATGCATCGATCTACTTATAGTCTTGCCCACCATTCAAGGGACAGATGCTTTTTTTTCAGACAGTGTGGCACAAATAAAAGACATTTCCCAATTCGTCTCCTCCGCTATATCAGATGGTTCTATAAAAGACCAAAAGTCCTTCTACCTCACCAAATATTTCAATGCCTAGCACAATCAGAATGCAAGTAAACACAAATATTCTTGACTACCGACCAAGTATTCTGTGATTGAGATTTCTTCTGTGATTCGGTAAGAAATGCAGTGGTTAGTTCGGGTTAAAAAAGAAAAGAAAGATGTTCCTCCTGTGAGGAGAGTAATACGGTGAGAAAGCCCACTTCGCAAGTTCAGCAATCAGAGCAGCATGGAAGCAAGAGAGAAATTCATTGCAGAGGGAAGGAAGAAGACAGATCAGCAAGAGTAATTTAAACCACTTACAGAAGCCTCAACAGAAGCTTTTTCATCCTATTCGTCTCTAAGAGCGCAGAGAGGCGTCAGCGCAGAGGTAGAGTGGCATGAAATGTCTGGATATTCAGAAATACCGCGACCTTTGACCCTTTCTTAACCGAATTCACTCTGAGCTGGGGAATGAAGTGCTGAACGCCCTCTCTGAATCTGAATCCTTCTATTGTTCCCATGCCAGTCCTAACATGGCTCAGCTTACAGAGGAGAAGAATGAATGGTATCATCTCCCAAGTCAATGCATCTAATCAAATGTCTGAAAGAATGTCCTTCAGAGCTGAAGGAGTAAGACGGCAAACAGAACAAGAACTTTGTCCTTTATGTCTCTATGAACTGAGACAGAAAGCGTCTCTATGTTTAACATTGCGCCGCCTCGCAAAGCCTATGCAGAATGTCAAACCGGAACAATCACTATGCTACTGACTAAAGTGATTCTTTTTTTATCCAGAACATTTTCCAAAAATGACTTCACTTGATTTCATGCGTTTTCGTCTGTAGCTCTGTGTGGAAAACACAGCGCTAATGAAAGAAACAACTATGTTCCTGACCAGAGGGATGGGTTGATCAATGAGAGCAATAAATTCAGTTATCTGTTCTGTCTTTCGTCTGGCTGTTATCCTCCACTCCTCACTGTTTCCACTCACCCTCGGATTCTGCTGGGTGAACTTGTTCTCTTCAGTCAAGTGTGGAAAGTTTAAAGGCTTCACAAAACTGGGGGTATTGAATGTATCTCTTCAAAAACGGATAAAATCTCTACTTGAAAACTGAACGACTTGGTGCGTTTTGCCCCCAGAGTTTAGGCATTTCTGCAAGCTCTGTTGATAGTTTCCTCTATCAACTCCCCAATTTCATTTATAACACACTGGAAGTCTGCTGAACATCAACTTGTGTTTACAGTGTCTTGGTGCGCAGTGGCGCAGTTGGTGGCGCTGTTGCCGTGCAGCAAGAAGGTCCTGAGTTTGATTCCCGGCCCGGGGGTCTTTCTGCGTGGAGTTTGCACGTTCTCCCTGTGCATGGTGGGTTCTCTCCGGGTACTCCGGCTTCCTCCCACAACTGCACCTCAAGTCACAGGACGCAGTGAAAATATCTGCGGGCAACTCAAAGATTTTGGGTAACGGTAAAGAAAAAAGGATATTGAACTCATTGCAATGAATTTAAGACAATTTACGGCCTTAATTTTAGATGCATGGACAAATCCAAAATACTTCTAAACCATTGGAAACATAAGAAACCATTTTAGATAGTTTGGTTCAGTGCTGGAGGGAAAACAGCTGGTTAGACGCCCTCAACCAAAACAACATCAAGCAAGCAAAGACAGCAATCCCAGTCCAACCAGGAAAACGCAAAGGTAATTATAACATTTCCGTGAACTTTGTGACCATTGCTAGTCATTTAGCACTGAGCCTTCACCCCGATACGAGACCAAAACTAAGAATCTGAATCACTTAGAGCAGGAAGGACAGCTCTAACATATGGTGCACAGCATTATGGGTAACACAGCTCTTACCAGGGAATCTGAGGTCTGCCATTTGTTGGGCAGTTAGTGTGCCGTGTGCTGTGAATGGGGAAAAACCCAACAGGAATTCAGAGGAATCCTAAGCTACTAAGTAGGATTAAGTATAATCACTTGTTGGTTGAGAATTTCTTCTTGCTTGTGAACAAGTTCACAAGTATTTGTTCGGGGAGGAGTCACCTTAGTTGCGCATTTTCCTGCCGGGTTTTCTGCTATTTGAGGAAAATCCACCTATTCGCAGATTAGGAAGAAAATATTCAGAAGAAAATGCAGTTGTGGACAATACAGTACTCAGGGGCCCACTGTAATGCAGAAACATAGAAATCCTAGTGGAACATTGTTTTGAAGAGGCATGTTTTGGTGAGAAACGAGAAACTGAAGGATTTCTGGATGGTTTGAATGAACTTGACAGGTTTGTTAACACACAAAATGAGAAGATGTCAGAGCAAGTCAGTAAACATCATTTCTCAAAATGGTTATTTTGAGTGCTTTTATAGAAAATAAGGTCAAGAGGCAATGCTGTGCAATTACCATAGCAACTATTACCAAAGCCTCTCCCCAAGTAATTCGTGCTCAGAACCAATCTTGGGTTCAGTGCATCACTAAAGTGGAGTTTGATGTGACGGGGTATAAAATTAAATTGTTTTTTTCCCTTCATCTGAACCAAAAAACATTTACGACTATAAACCAGCTGCATCATCTTAAAGAACTTCGGATAAGTAGAACAAAAAAAACAATTTCTTCAAAAACAAGAAAAAACTTTAAAAACTCCTTCGGCTTAGTTGCAGTCTCCTCAAACTGTCTCTGTGCTGCAATTAACATTTGTTCATCATGAAACGGCACCGAACAATTAAACTACTTTGATAATTAAATACCTATTGAAGCCGTGACCATAGACTCTCTGGTGCTCTAAGCTTTGAAATGCATCCTGCAGCAGCATTGCACAGGCATGAAAAGACACAGCAAGGGCTTCCCTCAATGGAAGAAAACTGCTTTCATGATGCTTCGATCAAAGTGTTCATTGTATTTTTAATTCTTATTGTGAATGACCTCGCCACCCGTAAAACACTGGAGAAGGCTAACGTCACCAAAAAGCAATATTTCGCTTTCTTAAAAAGATTACGAGAGAAATCCTCACATAAAGAAAGATGAGGGTTTTGATATGATTCTGCATTTGTAAAAGAACGCTTGAAGAAGCAGATAGTGGATAACTGAGCGATTATTTTATTTATCTTTTCTCTTCCCCAGCTGTGATTTCTCACCCACCGTCACCTCACCCTCTCCCCCTCGCTCACACACCAAACACCGACGTACGAGCACACACTCGCGCTTCTTCGCGCTGTGCTCCATGTTGATTGGCTGCTGGTGACATCATCAGACGCTGCACAAAAACAGGCCCCCTTGGAAGGTATGACTTCACTGTTTGGACCTGGTGAGGCGACGAGGACGCCTGGGAGAGTAGAGGGCTGCAAGATGAGAGGCAGGGCGCCCCCGCCCTGCGCCGTCCCACCCGCCCCTCCACACTGCCACCACAGTGTGGCAAACATTATGGTTTAGCTCATTTACAATCAAAGACTCAAGGGAGGACACGATGAAACCACTGAGGTGCACTGACTCACAACACAGTGCCTGGGATGTGTGTGTGTGTGTGTGTTTGCTGGTGACTGATGCCAGGAGGACTCCTCACTTATGCAAGGTAGACCGAGCTTCACAGAGGCTCGAAACGTAAACTGAGCTCAGTGATGGGAGACGCGATTATGTCGAAGGGGGAAATGTTAGTTGTGGAAACTCTGGAGGCTCCAGACCCCTTGGTTATGTTCATGGATGGTGCCTAACTGGTAATATGCAATAATTAAAAATACATTAGATGATAACAAGGAGATAACACATGCCCTGCAGCTGCCAGATGTTTCATTAATATTTATGCAAACGCATAACTCCCTACCATCAAAATACAAGAACGTTTGCTTTTACCTCACTCTGAGGACTGCAGAGAATTTAGGGAATATTTAGGCGGCCTAAATTAAAAGGCCAATACACCGTGGCTGTTGAAAAGACCTGGAAATATGGGATTTGATCAACTTTAAAAGTGGAGAAGCCTTCTTTATTAGGAGCTAAAATCCACATTAAATGTGCACTATTCTAAAATTAAGAATCACATGACATTGCTTCTCTTTTAGCATCAGTTTTAAATTAAAGCAGGAACAAATATTTTGGCTTTTGAGCAAGATTGGACAAATTTCTGCTTCATCAGCCCTGATGGGAAAGCAGCCGGTCAAACACTCAAAAAGTCTCATCTTTTCACAGATAAGTAAATGCATGGTACGTAAAAATAGGTTCATAGATGACACTTTGAAGTGGCCAGGGGCCAAAGGAACCTCTGAATTTGTCGTAACTCTGCACAGCTCCTGCGCCATCTTTCACTCAAAGCCACACTGCTCGTTCGCTGTTCACGCAAACTTTACAAAGCGTGACTGTAACTCGGCCTTGAGAGCCGCTGGCTAAATCAAAACTTGTACTTCTCTTTATGTTTCTTAAGGACACAGTCTCAGTGCCAACCGAAGCTGAAAGGGTATAAACTATTCTTTTCAAACAAGTTTTTCTCTTTTTGTTATTGTTGTTGTCAAGACTATAGCCTCTTTTTCTTTATTTTAAAATTAGTGATTTTGAGTGAAACCCTAGAAAAATGACAATATTTTCTAAAAAAACAAAAATAATTTAGAGGGGCAACATTTCTTTGTTCATTGTGGCAATTGTTACTGAGTGAAGAAGACGCTGTGTTCAGTATTATTGGAGTATTTAAAAGTACGTCAGACATACATCAGAAGTAGCTTGTAAAAAGAAAAAGTGCTCAGCTAACGCTAATATCAGTCTGTTCTGGTACAACTTATTGATAACGACTCGTAACCTGCAGATAAAACACAGTAGAGGTTGCGTTCATGTTTTATCAACTTAGAACTTTGCTCTGATTGATTTTATGATTTTA